TTCACAGGGCAGGGCTTTCTGAAGACGCTCTTACACTGCCCTGTAGTATAGTGAATGTTGTCCTCATGCTGTAAATTGCTGGCAGGGTTGGGTGTGATGGGTGTAAAAGAGAAAAAGAAGGACACTGAGAATAGGAGATCATTTCTGTCAACTGTGCTAGCACAAATATGGAGCTCATAAATAGGCAGTTCTCACTTCAAGAGTTAACTTGTAAGTCTTAGTTTTTAAATAACTCTTAAAAATCTAAATTCTGGGCTGGGCACAGTGGCTCATGCCTGTTATCTCAACACTTTGGCAGGCCGAGGCTGGTGGATCACTTCCCAAGAGTTTGAGACCAGCCTGGCCAACATGGCAAAATCCCATCTCTATTAAAAATACAAAAATTAGCCTGGCACAGTGGCATGCACCTGCAGTCCCAGCTACTCAGGAGGCTGAGGTGTGAGGATCACTTGAGCCTGGGAGGTTGAGGCTACAGTGAGCCATGATTGTGCCACTGTACTCCACCCTGGGCGACAGAGCAAAGAAAATTTTAAAAAATCTAAATTCTGATACAAAAAAAGAAAATAGTGAGAACTGAAAATTATGGAGGACTTAAGATTTAATAACCATATCATTAAACTGTATGAATCGTTACATATCAAACCAATAAAAGATTGTAATTGCTTAAAAATTGAATACTCACCACACCTCTTTTTTCTCAGCACCTGCTCCCCACCCTAAAAATGTTAAAACTTAAACTCACTAGAATAATCAAGTTAAAGAAACACAGAAGTTAAAGTTAAACTAACACAGAAGAGTTAATAGAGAAATGGAATATTACTTTGAGTCAGGCATGGTACTGGGTGCTTTGCATACAATGTATAACTTATTACCTCGTGATGGTAATCCTAGAAGGAAGATATTATTATCTTTATTTGTCCCTTAATTATTTTACATTTAGAAGACAAGTAACCTGCCGGAATTCATTGAATAATAATGAGAAGGCTATGGCAGGAAAAGCAGCTCTCTCTCTTTTTCCCTGGCTAGCAAGGATGAATACATCTTTGCACTTAGTAGGCTCTTAGTATTTGTTATAAAATAAATTGTAAAACTTTTAACTTTTAGTAACTTTTACAAAGATGACACCCCTTTCCCCTACACACACACAAGGAACATAAGAATAAAATTAAAACAGAAGATATAATCTGAACTCTAAAATATAATACAATTAATAAAGATAGAAAGTTCTAAAAAATTTAATTCTGACCACACAATCAAAAATAATTATGATGTGCAAAAGAAGGAGAAATAGGCCTGGTGCAGTGGCTCACACCTGTAATCCCAGTACTTTGGGATGCCAAGGAAGGTGGATCACTTGAGGTCAGGAGTTCGAGACCAGCCTGACCAACATGGAGAAACCTCATCTCTACTAAAAATACAAAATTAGCTGGGCATGGTGGCGCATGCCTGTAAACTCAGCTACTCAGGAGGCTGAGGCAGGAGAATCACTTGAACCTAGGAGGCGGAAGTTGCAGTGAGCCAAGATAGCGCCATTGCACTCCAGGCTGGGTAACAAGAGTCAAACTCCATCTAAAAAAAAAAAAAAAAAAAAAAAAAAAAAAAAAAAAAAAAGAAGGGGAAATAGCAGTTGGAATTTAGAATTTAGATATCTGGGTTTTAGTGCCAACCATCACTAACGTGTGTAACCCTGGGCCATGCTGTAAGTTTGAGGGCTTTCTTTCCTCATGTCCAAGTTAAGAATTGGAATCTTTATGGTGTCTTCTAGCTCTAATGTTCTGTGATTCTTTCTAAACCAACCAATTTGGTGTGCTACTCAACTTTTTGCTTCTGTCTCATCTACTAAGTGGAATGCTCTGTTTTCGGGAAAGTTAAAACATACACTGCTGAGAGGAAATGGAAATCGAAATTAGAACAGAAGGTTATATAAAAAAAAAAGAACCTTAAATGAGTAAAACTCTCCATTCCCAGATGGGCAAGTATCTTTATTTTGGGAAAAAAGGGAAAAAGTGTGATCTCTAAATACCACAGAAAAATGTGCTGGAGAGGCCCTATAAAATGAAGTTTGTGTAAGTACTTAGAAAAGTAAGGTGATCAATGGACGCCAGCAGGGCTATTCCTAAAAAACCAAACCAGCACAGGTGGGGAGACCTGACTGTAGATGTTTAGTGATAGATGAGAAGGTCAATGAGGTTCTTCTTGATTGGATAAGGTACCCAATTAAGAATCAGTAGCCTGACTTATCTATTAAAAACATTAAAACATTTTTAGGTGCATTAATAGAAATGATAACAATTAAGGGAGTGAGGGGTACCACTGTCCCCTGAAATGATGACTTTCTTTTTAGTAGCAGGTGCCATACTTTGAAAAGAATGTTTCACATTTGAGAATACTGATCCTGGAGGGGATAACAATCAGAAATAAGGTAATACAAAGAATACCTGAGCTAGTGAAATGTTTAGGCTAGGGAAAAAGAAGACTTCACTATTTTCAAAGTCTTGAAGGGATGTTAGACAGAGAACACACAAATGTAGTATGTTTGCCTATAGAAACATAATCATTACATAGAAGTTTTAGGAACTCAGTTTTACTTCAATATAACCAATGACTTTCTAACAACTAGAGCCTGCCTCATCATAACAGTGGAAAATACTGTCAACGAAGTGTTCAAGCAAAGGCTGTAAGTATCATATACAAGGAATTCATGCATTAAGATGGTGAGTAGACCAGATGATCTTTAGGGCTCTTGCCAATTCTTGTTTATAATTTTAAGTTAGTCAGTTAGAAATTAGGCTCTGTTTTCTTCTAGAAACATTTTTAGAAGAGGACATTAGGATCCAAAATCAAAAAAGTTTATTCGACTCATGATATTTCTTAATTCTTCAGTTGAAAACACATTCTTGAGTCTGGGAAACACATGATTTTAACGTATAAAATCATGAGGAAGAAGAGGAGGATCATTAACCTTACCTTTGCTAAGCAAAGATTCTAGCCTGTGGTCGAATTATGAAAGAGCTGAGGAAAGATTCTGAAATTCATGTGACTGATCTCAGGAATGCCTTAGGATGAAATCAACTTCTGGAACGAATCCCCACCTGACTGATGGCTTTCCACGTGCTAGCTGTGTGATTTTAGGTTTTTTTTTTGTGTATATATGAAATATAGTACTTCCAGTAATATAAATAAACGTAAATAAAACAATTAATAGTGTGGGGATCAAATGAAATAACAGATATGAAATGCCTGGCAGAGTACTGGACACCTACTAGTTATTCACTAAATGCAGGGATTCCTTAGAGTGTCTATGTGGGGATGATTTTTCCAGTTTTCAAAGAACTTCCACATACATTATCCTGTTTGATTTTTCATAATAACAGTATATGGTAGGCAAGGGAGGTGAAATATCCATATTTTACAAAGGATGAAAGGATGCTTGGAGTAAATAACCAGTTTTCTTGAATGATGGTTATTTGGCCTCTCATTTAATACTATTTCTAGTGCAAGGAGCACATTGCTCAACTAATTCCATCATAAATCTAAGGAAGAGAAGGAGATATTCAAGAGTTTTCAAGATCTGCACTCAAGACAACATGTTCTACCCATTACTGGCATGGATTAACTACAACACACGAGCTGTAAAGAGAGTAGTGAGAGTGACCATCTTTGTCGTATTGGTGGGAAGAATGTAAATTGGCATGGCCTGTGGAAGAAGCAATTCACATATGTGTATTGAAAACCTTATACATCATATTCATCTTTTGGCTTATAATTCCCTATCTACTTATCTATTTTAAGAATAACTGGAAATAATGAAAAAGTTTGATGCATAGAGGTACCCATCAGAGTACAGTTTCTGATAGTGAAAAACTGGAAACACTCTCAATAGCTTACCATGATCTATTAAAAGTAGAATAAATTGGAAAGGCTGAGTGTTCCAGAGATAAGGAGGCAGACTTTGGAGTCAGACTTACCAGAGTAAAATTCTTACTCTGCCTTTTATTAGTGGTGTGAGTGGGTTGGTTACTTAAGATAACTAATTCTTATTAACTCAACTAAAAATAAAATGACAATTTACATTTTACAGAGCTACTACGAGAATTACATATAATATCGAATGAAAATTGTTTAGCCCTGGGCTGGTACATAATAAGCCCTTCAAAGTACTAACTATTATCATTACCATATAGTAGATATGCCATTTATTAAATGTTCAGTATATGTGAGTCATTGAACAAACATTATTTTTTAAAACTCTGATATTAAGTATTTGATGTCTGTGCTGTTAATATCGTCATTTGACAGATGAGGAAACAGAAATAGTCTATGGCCATACCCACCCTGAAAGCGTCTGATCTTTTCTGATCCTGGGAGCTAAGCAGGGTTAGGCCTGGTTAGTACTTGGATGGGAAACTGAGAAACAGATTGGCTAGGACGCTTTCCCAAATTCACACAGATGGTCAGTTACAGTGCTGGGATTTGAACACCAGAAGTCTGACTTGAGCCCGTGCTGTAATCAAGGCTAAATGACCTTCAATACTATAAAATAGTGGTGTGTCTCTGTGTGTATATATACTTAACGTAAACTCATATTAGACATCCACATTTATATGATGTTTAGAAACAGTTTAGGTGTATTACTAGTTTCTAAAACAGGGCACCAAATTGTATATGAGGTAGGACATCTACTATGCAGATAAAAGGGACTGAAAATCAGCCTGGTTGCCTCTGTAGTGGTATTATAGGTGGCTTTTGTTCTCGATTGTGGATGTTTCTGTGTTTTCCAACATTTTAACTGAAAATGTACTATTTTGTAAACAAAATTAAAGGAAGAAATATAGGTAAGTTATCCAATGAAGATGTGAGAATAGATTTTGATAGATAGGGCATATGTTCTTCAATGGGAATAGCAGAGTATATTAGATTTCCTGAATAATCTTCCTGCTGAAATGACTCAGAATGCTAAGTAAAAATTAGAAAGCAATGGGGATAATATAAACACTTACACGTGCCAGAACAGGGGTGGGCGTAGGAAAGGCTGGAGTGGGCACTGGCTCAGGCTGGATAACCATTTCAGCTGGAGCTGCTCCATCTTCATCTTCACGGAGTTTCTGATGGGCACAGCGACCAATGTCAGCATTTTTGAAGGATACAGGCTGTGCAAAGTCCATGGGGCTGATAGATAGAATATAATAAAATAAGATTTTTTTCATTTTCATTTTTTTTTTGCTTCCTTACAATTAAGCCCGATCCCCACCGTCCTTTTCAAGTCCATCAGTGTGCTTTGCTCAATCTCAGTCGAAGATCCTCATTGTTTTCCTCCTCCCCTGCATGGCTGTAGACAGTGCGATGCCAATAATGATAAAAATAAATGATTAGTAGTAGTAAAAAGGAGATCCACTTACACAGAGTTAATAACAAGATTCCACACACAGCCTTCAAAAGGAGGAATATTTCTGAGTGGGGAAGGTTGAAATTCAGGCGGAGCACCCCCAACAAAAAGCTTTTTGACTTCAATAGGCTGTTCAACTGTCAGGTTTTGCATGTATCTTTTGTTTTCATCGACTTGAACTGTAAAGATGCTGGTAAAATATTAAAAGTCAACAAGCATAAATCACATCTCATTCAACACAGTTGGAAATCAAACTCTTTCCTGCCACCCTTCACCCCTCTCTCTCATAGATTTTAAGGGAGCCAAAATTGGATGGTCGGGAATTCTACACTAAGCCAATGTTGTTGTTTCTTAAGATCTTGTCCCATGACTCCCTCATTCGCTCTTCCTGAAAGTTTACTGAAACCAGGTCATGGCGCGCTGCAACATGAGCCTCTGGTAGAGATGACAACAGCACTGTGCAGCCCAACACGTGAGCCTGTGAGAACTGAGGCTTCTGTACCGTGCAGTAATGTCTAATTGTACAAGGATCGGCAGCGTTAGCATTGCATGGGGTCTTTCTTGGGTTGTGCTGGCTATTTTCTTCTTGCTAGGGAACAAACGGTTCTCCTGAGAGCTTAAATTGTTGAAATCAACAGCAAGCACTTAAAACACATTTTATAAAGAATGTAGCTGATGGCTTTTGAATAGAAGAGGCAGGCAAGAACACTCTGCTAATTGTTCCTTGCAATGATGTTCCTTAGTGGCTGTTTCATTAATTTCCCTAATTTGCTTACGAGAGATAACTCACACACCACTAATTGAGAAGCTCATGCTACTTATTTACAGTAATCCTTGGATCCCTGGGCCAAGAATCAGAAGGAGACAAAGAGTTCTGATGAAAATGACCAAAGGCATTTTCTCTTTTGTTCCAGAAGCAAGTTTTGAGTTTCAGTCTGGACAGCCATCGTGGTGCTGTTAGTAATAAGCGTTAGTCACTAACCTGAGGATCATGGATGAATTACTGAAAACTTACTTCATATCTGGAGAGAAAACCAAAGTACTTGGAGGGGGAAACCTCAGTCCTAAAGCACCCTCTTGCTTTGTTTTATAAAGAAGAAAAACCACATGTGAAACTGGAAAAAAACAATAAGCCCGGGTAAAGATGCTCTGAATTGGCACTTTACAAGTAAGAGAATTCAAAGTGAAAGAAAGAGACAAAAAATGGATTTTGCTTTGGCGCAAAATTTCGCTGCTAGTGGAGTGAAGAAAGGACCGGTAAAATTTAGTTTCAAAGAGAAAATAGGGGGCAATGACATACGTTGAGGTTTCTTTCTTTACCAAAGGGTGGAAAAATGTGTTGGCAAAACACAGAGGTTCAGCTTCCTTGCTGAGTGTCAGTAGTTTTATGAGACGAGAATTTCAGAAAACCACTCACTTCCGGGTATATGTGACTCACGGAGAAGCCCCTCTCTTACACTTTTTCCCCCTTTGGCTGAAAGTAGCCTCTTAGCAACATGATAGCACAGTCCTCCTAAGGGTTTTAATGGGGGGTGTAAGCCTCTGTTAAAGATTGTCCAAGGAGAGTTAAGTCTCTGCTCTTGATTACAATTTGTAAAAGCTAGAGGCCTTCCTCTTTCTGGTGCAGCCTCTTTCTGTTGTCTGGTTCTACCACAAGGGCCATCATAGAGGGCCCCCAAACTTCTGTAAAACTAGTTCACAGGGTGGTGATGGAGAATGAGCATGGGGTTTCAGGAGGAACATACTGGAATTAAGTACCAGTGTGAAAGCTTACTAGCTGTGTGACCTTGGGCAAGCTATTTGATCATGCTCAGGTTCATTTCATTCATTTATAAGACGGAGATAAAAATACCTACTTCAAACAGTGGAAAATATTAATTAAGGGATTGCCCTGAGGTGGTATTACTTAATAAAGCCATTCCTAGAAAACGATAGCTAAATCCTGCTCATCTTTAACTTTTAGGAACATCAAATCTAGATCATTTATTTAGTTTTTATTTAGGAGGACATTACCAACATGTCCATTATGATTCTGGTGTGTTTTCCATTTTTTAAAAAAAGTATTTATTTAAGAGCTTTTTACTGAGGCCTACTATGTGCAAACGTTACATTAAACTTTGTATTACTTTAGTGTTGTAATAGGCCAGTTTTATTTATTTACTTTTTTACAGTGTCAATGGCTGATTCTTAGAGTTTCATAATTACTTGATTACTTACACCCTATTTCTTATTTGTTTGGAATATGGGTTTAAGATTTTTTTCAAGCCATATCAATTGGATTGCATATGTGGAAGAAGATATTACTAGAAATAAGTGCCCTAACATTTGTAGTTTACCTGATAAATAAAATCTAATCTTTTTTTCTGTTTGAACATACTTTGGATGTTAAGAAAGAAAATATTTAGATTGCAGTGTTCCAATCATGATCTCATTCAGGAAACCCCAAATGACTCCTAAAATATCTCAACCTACTTCATTATCTTTAGCCTATTTCTGTACTTGTGTGAAGAAAGCTTTCCCAGAAGAAAAACTCAGCTCAGTTGCTTGTCCTGTTTGTCTACATAACTACTTCAGGCTGTCTTAGAGTTTGATGCTTTTGTCCAGTTAGAAGTGCTGGCCACCAAGGTGGACTCCAGGAGAAGGGTCAGAGGACACAGCAGTTACAGAAGGCAGAGATCACTGTAGTGCCAAGAAATTAGACGCCAAAGTGACTGAAGGTAGATTTCCCCAGATGAAGGGGTGGAAAGCAGAGAGAATGAGGGAGGAGAAATAAAGAGAGGCAGAGGGTGAGGAAGAAGCAGCTTCTTGAGAAGTTTGGCCCACCAATTTGGTAAAAATCCAATTATTTTATGAGGCAGTATTAAAGCTATCATTTTGTCCAGGGTTTTAGGAAAAGAAATGATGATTGACATGCATGATCTGAAAAGTGTTGGGATAAAGCAGTTATCTCCAAATTAATAATCACATATCATAATCAACATTAAGTAATATAAATCTTTAGGGTCACACAAAAAACATAAGAATAATCTATTGGCTGTGCATAGACAGAGGTTTTTAAGTCAAATATAACTCATTTAATACCTGGCCCTGTTACTCGTAGTGTATGATTTTGGGCAAGTTAGTTAATATTTTCTCATCTGTGATGAAAGGATATTATCACAGATCTCACATACATTTAGAACAATTAAAACAAACCACCTTTGTTTAGTATATGACACAAATCATGCCATAGAATAGGCATATAAAGCATTAAAAATGTTTCTGGGTGAAGTTCTGATGGTCATGCATGATCTCCGGTTAATCAGTTAAATGTGGCACTAGCTTATAGAGTAGATTGCATTTTAACCTTAGAGTGCCGAGTGAACCATTATGGCTGCAAATGTGTTCTTGTTTTGGCACAGAGTTCAGTGACTACACACTAATATGTCTAATACATTATCCTTTAATTAACAATGAATGGCAAAACTGTTTGTTTATATGGCCAATTAACTGAATGATCAGTTTCCAGTGATATACTATACACGGAGCTTAATCAAATCAAGGTTGGACTGATGGTCAACAGCTGTGAAGTTGGCATAACAAAGTGCCCTTCTTGAAGAAGCATGTGTTAAAAGGACACCTTGGTATAACAGGGTAATGTATTTCGAATTTCAGAATTCTTTCTCAACAAAATGACACATTTTGAGTGATTTTTGGTCAACGAATTTCTCAAATCTGCAGTTACTTATTGAAATTCTTTAAAGTTAAAGTTGTTTTTCTTTTTTCTGAGACAGGGTCTTGCCCTGTCGCCCAGGCTGGAGTGCAGTGGTATGATCTTGGCTCACTGCAACCTCCGCCCTACTGGGTTTAAGCAATTCTCCTGCCTCAGTCTCCAGAGTAGTTGTGATTACAAGACCTTGCCACCACGTCTGGCTAATTTTTTTGTATTTTTCATAGAGATGGGGTTTCACCATGTTGGCCAGGCTGTTCTCGAACTCCTGAACTTGTGATCCACCTGGCTTGGCCTCTCAAAGTGCTGGGATTACAGGCACGAGCCACCATGCCTGGCTAAAATCTAAATCTTTAAAAAAGTCCTTTCCACAATGAAAAGGATTAAAGTTTGTCAAAGGGCCTAACATGTAATCCAGAAGACATGTAAAACCAGTATTTTAAAGCATTCTAAGATTCAAATGAGAGCATTCAGTTTTTATTTCTCCTCAGAGACCAGACTACAATATCTGGCTACTAGATTAGTAAACGTTTTTAGGTTGTCCAAATACTGATCCCTCATTTGTCTTAATAATGATCTCTAAACATCTCAGTAGCCATTCTGCATGAATGTTTGGTATCAGTTCAGCCTACAGCCTAATCCTCTAAATAATAATAATAAAAATCTAAGGAAAGCTTTGTTATTTACTTAGAAGGTAAGAAATCTTTATTATTTATCTAAATGTTTTCCACGAGAGGATAATTAGTAAATGTAGGTCTTTCACTAGAGGATAGTATCTGCTTGCTTGAACTACTGCTACATATTCATACTTGTTGCATTTAAAAGTATTCTCTGTGTTTTGAGGTCTCATCAAATTGAATTTCCAGTTCTTTCTATGCCTTCAGTCTGATAAATGGCTTGCTGGCTTGGAGGTCTAAAGCCCCTGAAGTCTCTGGGCTTCTGTTTCCTTTTTCTCTAATTGTCATTCTAAACTAATTATCTCTCTGAGTTGTCATACAATATTTTGATGAAAAATACAGATGACTTTCCTAATACAGTAAGCATTAAGTATTGCAGTATTCTAAAGAAAGTCATCAGTTTGTGCATGAGTAAAGCCAATTCCCTGGCCCCTAGTGCTGGCTGGGGGCAAGCATTCTGGGAGATTTGTAGAAAGGTGGCCAGTCTCAGGGATGCAGTCATTTTCCTCCCTTCCCTTGATTCTGTTCCCTCAGGAAGCCAGTCTGTGGGTCCCCTGGAAACCTTGGGAAGGGGGACAGGGACAAGATGTGCACTTAATAGGCTCAGTAGGTCCTGTGGCTGCTGCCACACTCTGTGTCTGTGACAGCTAAGCAGCTGCCATAACGGCTTTGGAACCCGAATGAGATAGCAGCCACCAAAGACTGCTGGCTCCAGTTGAGCTGTTTGTGCATTTTGCTGTGTGCATACCTTATTTGAGGAGGTCCTGTTTGATAGGGGCAGGAGGGATTTTTCTTATCTACAGCTTCAGAAGATGCATTTGGTTTTTTTAAAGGTAGAGATAATGGCACAGGATAAAAATGCTAAGGGTAGAACTCTTGAGGGATCAGGCAAATGAGGTTCCCGAAGTATGAAGAGTAAAGAGGGAATTAAGCTACTGTGTCCTTTTGCAATGCATAGTAGGTCCACACACAGAGGTTCAGGCAGATACTGATGGATACTGATGCTAGCAAAGGCAGTTCACCTGAGTTACAATAATAAATATTCTAATGCTGTTGTTACCCTCTAGTTCGCTCTACATGAACGGAATGTTCTCTTCCATCATGAAACAGATTCGGCTCTGGTCTGATGACAATTTTCCTCATTGTTCGTGCCCCTGTGGAGAGATGCACTTCCAGACGGCCCTTGTTGAGGAATATCGCATAATAGGCCTGCAAACAGCAAGTGGTTATTGAAGATTAAACAGAAGCCTCATTTATGACTTAGCTTTAGAGATTCCCTGGCAGAACCACAGGTTCATCTGCTCTGATATCTTACCTGACAAATTAAGACTTTATTTTCTTAAACGGTTTTGAAAACAGCTAGAAATATCTTTCTAGCCATTTACCATTTTTGCTTGTGAGATGATCTGGAAAGTGGTATATTAACATAGCAGTTCTCTGCAAAGCAGATCTGTGATGCTGAAAGTAACAGCTGTGCTCGTATTGGTCCTCTCACTTACAAAACGCATCAGGAGACAAAGGGTGTCGACAAAATCCCTCTCCCTTATATTCACAAGTGGACAGCTAGCTTCTGAGAATCAGGCCTGACTCTCAACCTCATGGCATTTTGGGTATTTAGACTTCAGTTTGTTCTCTGAGCTGGTGGAATAGATTGTTATCACAAACATGTAACCTGCCTCCCACGTTTGGAAAGAAGGAAGATAATTTTTCATCCACAAACATGCCTGCTTTCTTCTTGCTACTGTTACTATAGCAACCAGAACGGTTTTGCTATCCCATCATGAACCCCAGGGAGCCTGAATGCAGTCCTTGTCCCCAGAGCTGATGCCACGTGCTCTCCCTTTCTTATGGAGTAGGGCGCACGTGCCACACCGTGATGGCTCAGCTCTCCATGAGTCATCTACGGTGGTAGAAACAATTTCCATCAAGCATCATCATGTTCCAATAATTTACTAAATCGTGTATGTAGTTACGTGTCCACCACAAAACGTTTTGAGGATCTGGATAAGGGCTCGCCATCTGTCAAAGGGAAATCACAAACTACTCACTCAATTAAAAATTCCTTAGCTCATGGATTGTTTGAGATTTTATACCCATTTAGTTGAACAGAATCACAAATAACTCTAAGGGTATCAAAACTGTTATCAAAACATGTCAATTTAACCAGCACTGAATCTAAATCTATGTCTGTCTAACAGGCATACACTATTTAACATTGTTACCTCCTTCAGATACCATTTAACTATGATGTTTTATAAATTAGATATGAGTATTAAGATGTTAAAACATTAAAATGCCATTTTAACTTACTTTATACTATAGTACTTAGTGTTTTCTTATTGTAATTGTTTTAATAGGAATCTGTTTTATTTTAAGCACTATCCTGAAAGCTGGTGATTCACATTCATTTCTTTTGTCTTGAGGAGGAGAAACCTGGAGCCAGTAGGTAGTGTTTAAATATCTGTCAATGTTGAAGGAATTAAATATCTTTTAGTGGAAATCTATTTCAGAATATTAGATCTGGTCTTCTTATTATAACTAGCTTATCATTTTAAATAGTGAGAAAAAGGTTTATTTTTCAAGATAAAGGCAAAAAATTAAGTGGGCATTTGTATATTATATTTATTTTGTGCTTATTATGTGTAGGATGAAATGAAATAACACTCCTCTCACTCTACTCTTCAAAAATATTTTTATTATGACTATTTGATATATTCTTCACAATATAAGTGATATGTAAACAATGAAGCTGTGTTAACACTGTACCATAAAATGAATACCTGTAAATCTACCACCAAATTTCAGAAACAATACCATTGCATCTCTTATGAATTTCTTTCTAATACTATCTTCCTGTTTCTCCATCTTGAGGTAACCACAAATGTGAATTTTATTATTAACTTAGTTTTAAAAAATATTTTTGAAATTCATGTATCTGTAAACAATATGTGGTTTAGTGCTACCTGTAAAAGAAATCTACAAAAATGGTATCATATCTCATTTTTCATTTTTTATTTATTTTCTATTTATTAAGTTGTTATGTTTAGTTATAATTTATTCCTTTTTATTATTGCTTGATCTCATTACTCAAAAGTGCCACAGTTTGCCTCTCTGTTCTTCAGCTGACGAACATTTGGGTTGTTTCCAGTTTCTCTGCTATTACAAAGAATATTCTATAAACATTCTTGTACATGTCTTATTATGCACATGTGCAAAAATTTGGGTCTATACCCAGGAGTGGAATTGCTAGCTTATAGAGATTATGCACATGTTCAGTTTTACAAGTTAGTGCCAAATAGTTTTCCAAAGTGGCTTTTGAAATTTACTTTTTCTACCAGCAGTGATCAAGAGCACGCTTTGATTTATATCTTTCCAATAAGTTTTCTTTCTAATACTGTATCAACCAGTATGATTTTGGTATCCCACTGTAAACTGCAGTGAGCTTTTCCCCTTTTGGGGACAAGGACCATATTCCTTGTAGATTATATGTACTGTACATTTCCAGACTGAGGCTTGTGTTTTGTGCTGTTTGGTGGCCAAAGAGTTTAATTTTAAAGAAGTTCCACCTATAATCTTGTTTTGTTCAATCAAGCCTTCCTTTCTTTCCCTAAAGTCAAAAGTTATCCTTGCACATTTTCTTCTAAGAATTTTAATGGTTTTTGCCCTTCCATATTTAAGACTTTTAATTCATTGTGAATTAATTTTTTTGGTTTGATATGAAAAAGAAATTTAGTTTCATCTTTTCCATATGAATACCAATGGCCCTGAAATCATTCACTGAACAGTTCACTGTTTTTTTTTTTTTTTTTAAATAAAATACAATGGCACTTATTGTCAAATGTTGTTTCCATCTATGCTTGTGTATTTTCAGGGTTCTCAATTATTTCCTATTTGCACAGTCATACATAAATCAACATGATAGTTCCACAATACAAAACTCTAGCTTCTAATGTGCTGATATCTGGTGGAATAGACCCACTACAATATTCTTTTAGGAATTTCATCTTTGATATAAATTTTAGAATAAGCTTGTCAGGATTCACAGAAAGATAAAGTGGTAATTAATTAATTAATTGATTAATTAATTTGGAGATGGAGTCTTGCTCTGTTGCCCAGGTTGGAGTGCAGTGGCATGATCTCAGTTCCCTGCAGCCTCTGTCTCCCAGGTTTCAGTGATTCTCCTGTCTCAGCCTCCCGAGTAGCTAGGATTACAGGTATACACCACCATGGCCAGCTCATTTTTGTATCTTTAGTGGAGATGGGATTTCACCATGTTTGCCAGGCTGGTCTCGTACTCCTGACCTCAGGTGATCCACGTGCCTTGGCCTCCCAAAGTGCTGGGATTACAGGCATGAACCACCATGCCCAGCCAAATGATATGTTTATTAAAATTGAATCTACATACCACTTTGGGGAAAAGTGACATTTTAAATATTGAGTCTTTAATATCTTCATTAACATGTTGACTATAACAATTTATTGACTATAATTATTGAGAAATACTTTGATATCTTTCAATGAAATCTTATAATTTTCTCCATATGGGCTTTATGTCTATTTTTTTATAATACTTCTTAAATCATATATTTGGTTTTATTCTTGTTCTTGTGCTATATTTACTTGTTCTTTTCTTACTATGCTAGCTAAGATCAGTGCAGTTAAAATAGTCATCCTTTTCTTGGGCTTGGTTTTATAGCAAATGCTTATAATTTTTTAAATCAGGAATACTTGTTATAGTTTTTTTATAGATGGCTAATGAAGTTTTCTCCTCTTAGTTTACTTAAGTATTTTTTTTAATAATGAGTGACTGTTAAATTTTACCAAATGTTTTTATCATCTACTGAAAAGATTATACGATTTTTAGTTTTTCTAATATTAAACCACTTCTGCATTCCTGAAATAGTCCAAGTTACTTCTGGTTATATATCTTTGGGCTCCATTTGCAAATATTTTGTGTGGGCTTTTTATTTTGTAGAAAAATAAATAAGATTTGTTACATGATATTATTGATCACTACATGTTACATGCTAAAATGGATTTTAAAAACATATAATCACAAATACCATGACCTGGTTTACAAGGGTATGTGCATATTTAACAACATATTTGTAATTCTGTTCTTTTGATTATGGCAGACTAAGTAATTTCTATGAACGCTTTCACTGAGAAAAACTAAATTAAACAGAAAATTACATTTTAAAAAATGTGATTGAAGATATTAAAGAATACCAAGGCAATAAGAGGTATGATGCTTAAATCTGGGCAGTTGAAGGATTGCTTTTAATGGAATCAAATGGGGATATAAATACTAAAGTTTATATCCTTGCAAAATTGATACTGTTTTTTAAAAAAATTTTTTTGAGACAGGGTCTCACTCTGTCATCCAGGCTAGAGTGTGATGGGGTGAATAGTTGAATAGCAGTCATCAATAGCTGGGACCACAGTCATGTGCCACCATGCCCAGTTAATTAAAAAATATATTTTTTAGAGACAGGATCTTGTCATGTTGCTCAGTCTAGTTTCACACTCCTGGGCTCAGGTGATCCTCCTGCCTTGGCCTCCAAAAGTGCTGGGTTTACAGACATGGGCCACTGTACCTGGCTGGTTGATATTCTTTAGGCCTTAACATCCTTGAATGCTATTGGGCTATAGTTGTCCATGTCTGTGTTGGTTGTGATCTACTTGCTCTCTCCCAGCTCCATTCTCTGCCCTTCTTTGTGTCCAGTGAGGACGGGATGGGTCAGGCCCAACAGACTGTGTCACTTCAGCTAATGCAACTGGGAAAATGATCTTAGAGGAATTATTTAAATTTAAGGGACCGTAGCTGAATATCTACAGATCTGATAAGGAATTGGACTTGGAGACAATAGAAATTAAAATAATGTGAATATATTTTCAGCTGTCCTCTTTACATATGCATATGTTAAACCCATATGAAACATAGGTGCAAATATGAGTGTGACTTTGCACCTGCAATTGACCAACAGGAACATCCTAGAGAGGACAATTGTCCTGGGGAGATGATTCGAGAGAAATAGGAGGCCAGCATGGAAAAATGGAATGTTCAGTCCCTGCTAGCTGAGGTGACAGCAGAAATAAAGGAAAGCAAGTTAACTGTTTTATATAAGCACGAGGGAAGATGCGTCATGAACTAGGTGTGAGGGTACCTGTCCCGTCTGCCTTCGTTTTCTCCTGCGTGGTGCTGGTGTCCCTCCACTTCCTAAAAGAATGATGCCGGACTCATTCTTGGTGCTGAAGGACAGGTTAATTTCTGTTCCTACATCAATTGGCACAGGAGAGAGCTCCACAAAACCAGGCTTAGGAAAGCTGACTGTGTAAACGTTCTGCGAGCAAAGGAAGAGTAGAAACCATTAGAAATGAAAATTTAAATAAATTCTCCACCTCATTCACCCTTCTCAACGCGTTTAATGTGATTATGAAATATATCGTAGTTTTAGAAAGCAGGAAAACCCACAGTTACCTGGAGAGCTTAAAAGCAGTTGAAGAAATATTACTTATAGTTATATAATAACTTCAAATCTTCTGAGCAGTTTGGGTTAAAATCACAATTATAGCCTCTACTTTTATTCTAGAACTTTTGGTTTTAAATATGAAAGATTATCACTGTTAGATATGTTTTTCTGTCTGTTTAAACCAAAGATTTAAGCCAAACTGACACAGGCAGATATATATGTCTATCAATCTCCCTAAGTTTCCCTTGTAAACACTATAACTAATATCTCTTGAACAAACCCTATCAATTAATTGTTTATGTCTTACAGATGGGTATGACCATTATCTGTCTGCATTTTCTTTTCTCAGTGATAAGACAGAAGCCTTAAAAATTAATAAACCAAACACCGTATAGTCTAGTTTTTTTCTCAGAATTAAAGTAATACCATTGTCGTTGCTGAGTATAAAATTAAAACAGTTACATTTCAAGTAGAACTCTAAAAAAGGTGCAAAAGGGAGAAAATTAGCTCCCCATCCCAATCTCAATGCTGTGCAGAAGCATTCTACATTCCTTTCTTTCTTTCTTTCTTTCTTTCTTTCTTTCTTTCTTTCTTTCTTTCTTTCTTTCTTTCTTTCTTTCTTTCTTTTTCTTTCTTTCTTTTCCTTCTGTCCTTCTTTCCTTCCCTTCTCTCTCTCTTCTTTCTCTCCTTCCTTCCTTCCTTCCCTTCTTTCTCAGCCTTGCCCCCATCCTCTCTCCTCCTCTCTATATTTAAAATAAATCTGATAGACATGTTTATTTCTAATGTGTTTTTTTTCTTATATATGTGGAGGATATCACTCTGTCAGTAAATGTAGATCATCACTTTTTTTTTTAATTTTGAAAGCATTCTTTATAGGTCTATTTAATTATGTATTTCACATCATGGATGTTTATGGATATTTGCATTGTACATAGTATGTTTTCCTGAGATTCATTTAGGTCCAGAAATGGAATATACAGAATAAAACAATGAAAAGGATAACAAGCAGATAAATTATAACATTCTAAAATTTAAGTTTAACATTATAAAATTTATTACTTTACTTTGTAATCATCTTTATCCTCTGCTTTCTTTATAACTTTTTTTAGAGTTGATGCTTCTTTTTTTATTGCATTTTAGGTTTAGGGGTACATATGAAGAACATGTAAGACTGTTGCATAGGTACACACATGGCAGTGTGATTTGCTGCCTTCATCCCCTTCACCTATATCAGGCATTTCTCCCCATGCTATCTTTCCCCACCTCCCCAACCCCCATCCCTCCCCCATTTCTCCCCAACAGACCCCAGCGTGTGGTGCTCCCCTCCCTGTGTCCATATGTTCTCATTGTTCAACACACGCCTATGAGTGAGAACATGCAGTGTTTGATTTTCTGCTCTTGTGTCAGTTTGCTGAGAACGATGGCTTTCAGGTTCATCCATGTCCCTACAAAGGACACAAACTCATCGTTTTTGATGGCTGCATAATATTCCATAGTGTATATGTACCACATTTTCCCTGTCCAGTCTATCATCGATGGGCATTTGGGTTCGTTCCAGGTCTTTGCTATTGTAAACAGTGCTGCAATGAACATTCGTGTACATGTGTCCTTATAGTAGAACGATTTATAATCCTTTGGATATATACCCAGTAATGGGATTGCTGGGTCAAATGGAATTTCTATTTCTAGGTCCATCACTTTTAACGGCAGGAGGACTTTCTACTCTATGAATGTCCTAGCATTTATTTAAGCAAGCCCACATAGTTAGGAATTGAAAGTGCTTAAAGTATTCATTTTTAAAGTCCTAGATTTTGTTGGAGTAAAAGCAAGGACTTCTTTAATGTAGGCAATTTTCCTCCCACAGTATTTCAAGATCAGTTAAATGACACAAGAGTTGGTAAAATATATAATCTGTTTTCTATTCCAATTTTCAAACCTTGGAGTTTTAGATAGTTCATACAAAACTACTGTGCAGACTTTTCAGTATCTATCCACATCAAATTTCTGCCTCATATCTTAGTTGCAAAATAACTTCTGGTTACTGAAAAGTGCCTTTATGGAATCATAATTTCCACGTGCAGAGGCTATTCATTTTCTGGACAGTTTCCGTCTTTGTGTATATATCTTTTGAATGTGAATGAGAGTTAGGCTTTGAAAATTAAAACTCGCAGTAAAACTTTCTTTAAGAAGCCAGTATGGGTCCTTAAGAGTTTTCATTCTTAATGTATTTTCTTTTTATTATTCCCAGACTTCTCAGAGTGGGTGTCTATGGCCTATTCCAAACTGGGACCTGTAGGTATGAGCAATGAAGACCCTGAAAGTTCTGTTCCAGTCTTTAAACCTCATCATTCAAGTGCTGGACTCACTTTTTCCTTCACTCACATTTTCCCTTCATTTCCCTGAATTCTATTGGAGTGGTTTAAGATAATTTTAATTAGAAGCAGCAGCCAAAATGAATACTTATATTACAGTAGGATAATTAAAAATGTATGAGAATGATATATTTAATATTTTCATTTTAAAAACAAGTTCATCACTATTGAGTTTCTATAAAATTCTGGCTAATATTTGTTGTTGACTATTGACTCTTGGTTATAGATATTTTAAGAGCAGAGCTATGACCTGGATCCTTCTCACATATGGGTCGGTGTCAACTGAAGAAATAGTGCAAAATAGTTAAATGAAAATAGGGGAATGCTAGGATGCTTTAGCATCAAATAAGAGATGCTGAGGATATCCGCTAACAAAGGACTTCGCAGCATGTCAAACACAAGTCTTTGCAGAGTTGGATGTCACAGGTCCCAGTCTATGTTATTTCACAGACAAGGGAGCTAGACTTCGAGGTTGTGGACAACATGCTCTGTGCTAATGGTTACCGTGTAAATTACCACTTGCTGTAAACTTGAATGGTTCCAGGAAAAAATGTTAGGTTGCTAATAAAGTTATATGCAACACAATAAAGGTAAAATAAATCTAAAATGGATGCCAAAAATGAGGAAAAAGGAAAAGTAGAGTTGGAAATAAAGAGAGAAACAGAAAAGAGATTAATATTAATGATACGTGCTATGAAGAGTATACATTTGGAAAATTGGATCACAATTCTGAGACGTCATAATACCATTTCTATCATTGTAATTTAGAGAATACGTTAATCTTGCTTTATCGTTTAAGAGTAGGATGAGTAGAAATCTAAAATATATCAACAAAAGACTGATCCTTGTAGAAGCAGCCATACTAAGTAAGTGAAATCTGACATAAATGTATTTAGAGAATCATCAAAAACAGACCAACCTCCAGAGTACATCCTTTGGTAACACCAACATAATCGGGACTACTGAGTATATTGTACGGAGTTCTTGAAATTTCAATATCTTTGAGGCAGCCGGAATATTTCTTCAAATTTACTTCTGGCCTATTGAATAGTCAAATAGAAAGCAAAAACAATAACATTAGGGTGATGGTAGTGTAGTCTCTGACTACTGGAAGGAAGCCTTATGGGGCAGACACATGCAGGCACATGTCTATCAAACTGTGCACACGTATACCCAGCAAACTCTGGTTTCCATTATCTACTGGTTGATCTAATTGGATGTTAATACTAGCTTGTAGAAGGAGTCTTTTTGTAGTTCTTCTTCTCCGTTTAACAATAATCTCACCCACGGCGTTTAAACATGAGGTACAGGAATTAACTGACTTCTTATTAATGCTTTTTATGTGTAATGAATTAAGTTTTCTTTTTTTTTCACCAAAGAGAACATAACTGCATAGGCGACATAAATAAACTATATGCCAAAAAATTTATATTGCTCAAAAGTTAGAAAAAAATCTGAAAATGTTTACTTTTGAAAAAGATTTTTTAAACTGAGGCTTTTTTCTGGGAGATAGCTGAAAAATAATATTACATATTTCTTTAAGGCTTTTAAGTAAAATAAAGTCTAAGAAACACTGTTTTGGATTAAATAATCTAAAAGCAGATGTTTAAAAATTAAGTTTAGTGATCGGACATAGTGGTTCATGCCTGTAATCCCTGCATTTTGGGAGGCTGAAGAGGGAGGATCACTTGAGGCCAGGAGTTCAAGACCAGCCTGAGCAACACACTGAGACCCTGTCTTTGTCCCCCACCCCAAAAATAAATTAGCTGGGCATGTTGGTATGTGTCTAGACTCCCAGCTACTTGGAGATGCTGAGGAGGGAGGATCTTATGAGCCCAGGAGGCTGAGGCTGCAGTGAGTTATGACCATGCCACTGCACCCCAGCCTGGGTAACAGAGTGAGGTCCCTGTCTCAAAATTTAAAAAAAGATTTTTTTTATAGATTAGTTTATTTTATGAATTGACACCAAATCTGTAATCTATATTAGAACAATAACAAAATAAAGCAACCAAATGCAAAAACCCATACATTTCATTTTTCAATCAAATTGAAAAGTGACTTTTATACTCAAAATACACTTGAACGTTTACCTTTGCACACTACTTCATAAAATGGGGCAAATGTGCCAGCAGATTAGAAAATCGAGTCCTTGCCCTTGAGTCCAGATGTTGTAAGTGATCTGAGTTCTCCAGGACTCAGTGTTGTATGTGAAATGGGCATGATAATAATCATCATAGTGTCTACATGATCAAGATGTGCAGGTTTACTAAATTAAGGAACAGCCTTGCACACAGTAATTGTTCAAAGAACAAAGGTTAGCAGAATGTCAGTGATGTTGATACTTCCTTAATTATAACAGCACTGTCCCACAGAACTTTCTGTGATGATGATTGATTGTCTATTCTGCACTGTCCAAATCAGTAGTTACTAGTCACATGTGGCTATTGGGACTTGAAATGTAGCTTGTCCCAATGAGAAACTGAATATTTATTGCTATTTAATTGTATTTAATTTATAGTTAAATAGCTACTGTGACTTGTGGCTACTATACTGAACAGTGAAAGTATATAGGAGTAAAAAAGATAATTCTTTATGTGGCGTTAATCAGCATTGGCATCAATATGTTATACTTGATAGGGTGATGATTAATTCTCTCCTCATTGTCCCATGATGCCAAGTTCCCTTTTTTATCTTAATGAAAAACACGTGGCATGAGGAAAAACAGGTTGAGAAACAAATTAGACCTTGGCAGTGTATATCAGGTGACTTACTTCATGTCAGGTATCTGTCTGTTTCCACCCCCTACTCCTTTCTGGAACTTCTTTATTTTCATTGACAATTTTTTCTTGTTCCCAGGGTTTTGTTTTTGTTCAGTCAGTATGTTATTATAAAGAACTTGCCCAACTGGAAGGCGAGAATCTCATTTATATTTTTCTTGTATAATGCAAAGGAAATGGTGAACTTCCTTAACAGTGTTCACTTGCTTCTATATTTTCCTTTATGGAAAGACTGACTTATCACAATTTTTTTTTCAGAGGTCTTGTTAATAAAGTAAATCATACCTACAAGTTATGTAGTTAATTGTTTCGTGGAAATACAAAGAACCATTCCACAATATGATTTAGTAACCTCAATATTAGGACAATCACAGGGGATAGTCACGTAAGGTGACTGGACTCATTGGTAACCACCAGTCTGTTTCTTGAGGGTCACCACTCAAAGGCAAAATGACAAAGCTATGGAGTGCTCTCCAACATATATTTCCATGAAAGCCAGCCTTTGCTTTTTAGCCATCTCAGCAAACGTAGCACAACTGGTGGTCTGAAAACAGTATCATGATAAAACACATGGTTTGTTTTTTTCCCTACTTTCATTTCTGTATATTCTATTCCTTCTATTAAAAATCTAGTCTTGGTTTTAAAAATATCTTGGATCAGTTCGGCTTTATTATCTTCTTTCCAGAAATTTGGCACAGCTGGGCTCTGACATGCCAAAACACCAGGCTTTAGCTCCAGCCAGAGCATACCAGCCCTGCATGTCTCTGGGATTTGGTTAGCCATTTATGGAGGTTTGCTGCTCACAGCTTTTATGCTAATGCAAGTAAGAATTAAAATATTCCTGAGAAGCTAAGAGAACTATCTCATACTTCTTTACTATTCATGCAAATACTTATTTTAAATATAGTATTTCCAGAGATTCCTTCATCTGGCACTGTAGCTAGTTTTAAATAAACATGTCAATAGATAAACAACTTTGACAAGAGGTGCAAAGGCTGTGTAAATGTTTGCATATCTGCAGGCCTGCAAAAAGCAAGAAGGCAGTGGTAAGCATGTGAGAGCACAGTTTAATTCTTCAGCAGACAGCATGGTACTAGGGAGGCCAGAGCCCAGGGTTCAACCCAAGAGACCACTTTACTGTGCTCCCCAGAACTAGACTGTGTACCAGAAATGGACCAGCTGCCTTTTGAGTGTGTGCTGCTAGTCACCAGGGGCACTGTGCGCAGATGGTGGAACAAGTGAGCAGAGCAAATCTATCATCTTTGCTGGTGAGACAACTTAACTTGCAGCCCAGTTGGTGGTGGATAAGCAGCAGAATGTTGGCCAGCAAGGGGCAGCATGAGAACTCTCACAGAATGCATGGCTTGCTCATGAAACATACTGCGAACAAAGCTGCACTGGTGTTGCTCTGCTTCTGCACGACTGCTTTATCTAAGAAGCCACATTTACCCAACCCATGCACTGGAAGAAGGCATGCATAAATTTAAATTTTACCTTGCTTTCATACTAGGTAACGGGAAAGAGAAAAAAAAATAAAACGATTTACTTTTAATTACATTTTCGTTTAATAAAACAATAAGCTTTAATCATAAATCTTTTAAAAAATCATTTCACAGGGATCTACAAAGGAAAGAAATGCAGAAGCCCCAACAGAACTAAAAATAGACACATGCCCTTGACTGCAGTGAAATTAGAACCGAAATATGACCACAGCTCACACTATTATCTTGGAAAATTTTTATTTTGAAATATGAATTTAAAGTACTTGTTCTTATCAATCTAATAAGTGGGGAAAATGTGCAATGTCAGTCTTCTGTACTATTCATGAATGGCTTATAAACATTGCCTCTCAAAGAGCTTGAGCTTAACAATGCATATAAAAATAATTTATGTTTGCCACATCTTTTGCACTTTGTCGTATTGAGAACCTGTCTGCAGGCAAAATAACAGGTAACTATGAATGTTTGATTTCTTTATCAATCACAAATATACCTCTAAAGGTTGTTTTGAAATAATATGCCACAGTATAGAAATATACTGTAATTATGTAATGCTGTACCATGAAAGTAAAAACATTTTGGTGCTATTCATTTAACACACACAGATTTTACAGATTTTAACAGATTTTCCAGACTTTAACAGATACATCCTTATAGATAATTCCTAAAAATCACTTTATGATAATTAAAATCTTCACTAGAATAAATGAAGCTAGATTTGAATAATCTTAGTTTGGCTGTATTTAATTCACTCAATAATATATAGTTAATGATCTTGTAAAGTAAATCTTGGATTTGAACAACCACTGGATTCCTAGTGTTTAGTATGGAGCCTGTCACACAGTAGATACTCAAGAAACATTTGCTTAATGACTAGTCATCTGGTAAATGAATTTCTAGGTAATAACTGTGGTACTATTCAAATCTGATTTGTAATGTTTTTCTGACTTGACACTTTAAATCTATTCCTTTTCTAATAGAAACACATTACAATGAATGAAGATCAATTTATTTACACTATGAAGCTCATGAGATAATTAGACAGTTGCTTCATCTATGAGTTCATCTATGAGTTTAGATTTGGGGAGCAGAAATTTTAGCCTGCACACTAGCTGTCATAGAATGAGACAACTTTCACTGCTCATTTGGGAAATATGAAAATAACTGATCAACATACTTTTCAGATACTCTGGGGTTTTGCAAAACATAATCTGTCTTTTTGGAGTAGAAACACCTAGACAGAACTTTCATATCCTTTAAAAAGTACCAAACTAATTAAGCAAAATGAGAAATTAAAAACATGGTAGTCTGTAGTAAACTCTTATAGTTTAACCAAATCAATTAATCCCATTATAATTAGAGTTTAGTTAACATTTATTGAGCACTAAGTACCATCCATATAGACGATCTTCTGTTTTATAATGAGCAGTAAATTAGCTAAGTGGCATGTGAGATTTTTCTGACATTTTTTGTTACTTTATTTTTTTGAACTAAATTAGGAAGCAAATGTGTCTCCCTGTACTGCTAGCTAAAATGCATATGTGAAATTAAGAAAAAAATGTTGGCATGGGCATGAGAACAGCCAATATAGTTCTTGTATTAGGCATATGGGAAAGCTCCAATATGCCATTATGATGCTAATGCTAGGCAATAAAATAGGTTATACTCATAGTATCCTGGAATACTGACTAATTTTCAGAACACTAAGCAATGTCAGAGTGCCATTATCTCCGGTGAATGTATAAGGAGAACAGCGATTACAAGATCCACATTCAACTCTGGCCTCTACCTTTTCAGCAGGTGCATATAAAGGAAAGAGCAACTCCAATCCATTTCTTCAACATAGATGTCAAATTAGTCCTTTAGTTTCTAAATCCTGGTGTTCTAACATGCAACATGATTTTTTTTTTAATCAGGCCTTTCTGTAACCAGGGGTTATATGACATTTCTATTGTAATCAAACTTCAGAACTCTAGTGAACACAGTGGTCATTTAATTAAAACTTAATCCTTAGCTTTACATATAAACTAAATTACCTCAAGTTTCTCAGCGTTGGCAGGCCACCAAAATATATTTTGTCATCTGCTTTCAAGTCAAGACCAAAGTTGTTTCCAGAAGATGAGGTTGCTATGTTCTCCTCCTGATTGGTATCTATATCTACAATTGATATATTGGCTGTAAAGGAGATAGAAAGTTTAACATTTTATTTGAGTGGTATCAACCACAACTATATCATCACTAATACTTCAAGACAAATTTGGTTTAATTCTAGAATTCACATTAACTTTCTCAAGCATTTGTACTATATTTAGCAATTTGATAATTACAGAAACAAAAACATCAATAAAATACACGATTAAACTATCCCACAAAGAGCATGAAAATAATAGCTTGAACACCAATGAAGGCAAACCAATGAAGATAAAAGAGATAAATTTAAATGGACATCAAAGATCCATTTGATGTAGTTTTCTATAATCTACATAAGTAGCTAGAAAATAAAGGAAGATTAAAACATGCTAAATAAGAGATATCTAATTAGGAATCAGATAATTAATTAGAAACACGCTGGCTCTTTCTGTAAGTTTCACTATCCACAGCAACTACTGGGATTTAGACTCATCTGCAAAGTGTTACTGTTGTAAAATATGGTTGTACATGGAAGTGGAAGGGGATGTTGTACAGGGAAGTGGTGGGATCCAGGCCCACTGTAAATTACATTTTAGACTGGGATGCTAAGCGTTGTGACAGAGGTACACTCCTCATGCCTTATGGCTTTTCTCTTGGGTCTCTCAAAGTATTTTTAATGTGATGGAGATAAGAATCTGGAAATAGAAAGAAATAAGGAAAGAAGAGGCACATCTCTGTTCAAACTGCATTGTTCAGAATGCAGGGGATCTCGTTGATCCCTCTCACTATTGCCCCCTTCTTAGGGGTCAAGCTAGGTTATTTCTGAATTACATACTTTTCCATATTTCCTTAGACTCAGCCTTTAACTACTTCATATGCACCTTTGATGCATATTGACATCAGTTCCTTAAGATGATAGATTTGGCCTCTAAATCTTTGCTTGATGTAGGATCTGAATTAGCAAGCATTTGAAAATGGGCATTTGAATCAATGGGTTATAAGGGAATTTCCAAGTATTTATTCTTTAGGATGCTAGTTCTTGTAAGTTCCTGGCTCAAATAAATATGACAAATACTGGGTTATAAAAAGGTAAACGTTTATCTCCTTAATTTTGTGGCTGACCAGATCTTTCAGCATGCTAACATGCAATGCAATGCTCCAAGAGAAGGACAGAGAGCAAAAAGTATCTCTCAAATTCATTTGACCATGAAATATTATTATTTTCATTCAACCCATCATCTTTTAGAATCAGCATTCTTCGAAAAACACAGAGAAACATCAAATTCCAAAATTCTCTTGAAGTTTATAGCCCTTTTATTTCAAAAAAATATATCTTCAATAAAGTCAAATACAATGCCTTATTTAAAAAGGACCAAAATCAAATACACAAACCAATAAACACCTCAAACTAGACTTTTGTGAAAACAAGAAAAACACCTAAAAGAATAATTGTCCTATTAAATATAGTTAGCAAGTTAAGATTTTAGAATGGGATTAGTTTCACACACATATTTTATTATTTTTGTATACATAATTAGTTTCATATACATATATCTCCTTGACTGGACTGGTGGCTAAAAGAAAATAGATTTATAAAACTGTTTTCAAGACTTTTTCATGCATATTTCTTTTTATCTAGATCAGCAAAGACATTTTCATATGGGGCTGTTGACTGGAAGATGAAAATAGTCTCTTTCTGCAGACCTGGTTGGTATTTTAATGGTGTCTGAAAATGAGATTCTGCCTCTCTATCACAGGCAAGCCAGTGACTGAAGGTAGTTTTCCTCCTTATCCAAGAATGAATGTATGCATTTTTAGAAATCATTCTAAGAAAAAATGATTAAAGAGCATAAACACAATTGAATTGAAATTCACTGGCCCAAGTGGTAACTTTGGCAGAGAGACAGGTTGGCATATTTCTACTGACTTAAAGGAAGGGCTTTACCGTGTCCTTCATGAGTGATAGCAATGAAATGGGTTCTACCAGGAAATGCTAATACTTGCTCTTATTTCTTGTCCTATTTCTTTTCTTTACAGAATAGAAAAGTAGGCTATTAACACAAAATTTTAGTTGATGAGTTCAGATGTGATTTATAAGTAGGTAGGGAAATAAGGGTTTTATTAAATAATAGACACAGAGTAGGGGCTTAACAAATAATTTATAATCAGTTCTGAGTTGTTGTAAGCTAACGTTTTTTAACTTTGGTTATTTCGTTTTTCCTCTTTCTTGATCCACTGGAAATCTAACTGAGTGTTCTCAACTTTGATTCCATATCAATGCATTCGGGGGATAGGGCACACTTCTATCAGTGACTGTGGTTCTACAACTAACTCAAGAAACACAGGGAACACCCTCCTGAAGGACTGTACTTGAATTTCAAGGGACAGTGCTTTTACCAACTAGCTGAGAATAATTCATGTAAAACAAGCTATCTGGTCAGTGAAAATGAGCAACGACCCACATTGCTGGAGCCTTATTTCAATTCCTCTCCCACTACTACTCTGTGACTCTGGTCTTGCTAAAAGTCCATAGAGACCTCCCTATATCCAAACTCAGTGGACTCCTTTGAATCTTTATCTTCATCCATGTTTATGCAGTATTTAATGCTGTTATCATTTCCTTCCTTACAGGAAATTTCTTCTGGCTTCCAAAACATCAAGCTCCTTGGCTTCTTTGAGCTTTCATTCTCAATCTCCTACCCTGAGATCTATTTTTGAACACTTTTAAAACGTTGATGTTTTCCAATGCCTCTTCCTTTGCCCACATCTCAGGCTTTAGCCATCTGGGCAAACTCAAGTTTATATCTATTTTCCATGTAATTTTATACAAATGTACTCTTTTTTTGCCTGCCTATTTGGATATTCATCCGATTTGTACATATATTAATATTTTCTTATTTTTTTACTGCTGAGTAGTATTCCATTGTATGGGTATACCACTATTTATGTGTATCTATTTACCTGCTAATGGATATTTGAGTTGTTTTTAGTTTTTGAGTAACACAGATAAAAGTAATGTGAGCATTCTAGTACAAATCTTTGTATAGAAATATGCTTTCATGTGTCTTGGGTGAATAATTAGGAGTGAAATGACTGGTTTGTATGGTAGATGTATATTTAGCCTTTTAAGAAATGGCCAACCTCTTTCCGCATTATGCCACTTTATATCCTCAGCAGCAGGGTATGAGTTCCAGTGACTCCACCTTCTGGCAACACTGGGTGTGGTCAGTCTTTTTAATTTTAGACATTCTAATAACTGTGCAGTGATATCACATGGTGGATTTATTTTGCATTTCTTTGATGTCAACTCCCAATGCAACTCTTACTTCAATCATCATTTACCTCCTGCCTAGACTATTATCGAAGCTAATTGTTCACTTTGTCTTCAGTTTGGTCTTCTGAAAATACATCTTCCACACTGACACTAATATACTTAAATTGAAATTACCCTATCACATCTCTACTTAAAATCAAGTTCATCAAGATGAGCTGCAAACTCTTCGACATAGTTTAAATAGCTTCCTGTGATCTGGCCCTCTTGCCAACATGCCCAGCACTGTCTATTATCACTCCTTTTGAAATTTAAACTCCAATAATTCAAACTAATTACAACGTCAGCCCACATAATCCGTATTTTTATACATTTTCTTTTCATATGACGCTTTTTGGCCTGGATCATCCTGCAACTGCTTCCACCCCTCCTATCTACACCCCCTCAACCAAAAAATGCCTTAGGGCTCAGTTAGTGCCTTATTTCTCTCCCTCCATACTGTCTCTCTTGGTGTTTACTGTATCCTACAGAATTTGCTTACTTGTGCAGCAGGTAAGTTATTCAAGGGTAGGAACTGTATGCATCTTCATTGATCCAGCACAGCATCTGATGCATAGTTGGTATTTAATAAGTGTGTCCTAGAAGAGCGAATCTTATCAAAGCAGGTAGTAAGGTTATTTTGCCAAGCCTTTCTTCTTTTCCTTTTAAATTTATATTTCACTGCTTTAAGTGTGATCTTTGGATATTGCTACTGCAGGTCAAGGACCAGATGCTTGTAATCTATTGAGATTGAATTTTTCAACTTTCTATAAGAAGTCTTCCTTTTTCTTTTGTGAATTATTTGTTTATAACACTTGCTTTTTCCATTGTGGCTTCCCAAATGGTTTTCTTTTTATAAGGAAAAATTAATACATATATAACTGACCTGCTATAATCACAAAATGCTTTAAAAGTATCAGAGAAAATATATTGGCTATATGAGAATACAAGTGAAAAAACAGCTATAGTTTCATTACATGCATTTTTGAGAAGTTTCTTCTCTGGTGATAATCTCTCTCTTACACCAGAGATGACAGGGAATGGGGAACAACTATGGGCAGGAGGAGGCAGAAGTTCCTCGTCTAATTTGAGATTCAAAATTCTGAACAACTGAACCTCATAAAGCTTGATTTCTTTTTAATGGTGATACCATAGAGATATATTAGAGAAGAAAGGAGAATGGTTCATGTCATTAATACCCAAAAGAAAAGTGAGAATAACTGCTTGGTGCATTTGACAGGAATATTCAGGAAGGCAAAAAGCAATGTGAGTCTAGAGTCAATTTGAAGGCCAAGGAGAAGATTTATAAGTGAGAAGATACCAGCCAACTGTGTCAAAGGGATTGAACTAGAAACCAGAAATGGAACAGAAGATCTTTCTGATTTCTGGACTGCAGAGTAGTAACAGTAACGGTAACAGTTAGTAGCTCTAGTAAAATTTGGAAAAATTAGACCTATTGGGGGAAGAACTTTCTGAATTGATGGAATGTTGGAGTTACAATAAACCTGAAACCTGTTTTTACCTATTTTCAAACTTACATGATTCTGTAACTTGACCATTGACTAACATTGATTCAGAGCACAGATCTTTTGGTTATTTGTTTTAATAGGCAGAATAAAAGTTGAGATAGCAGACTGATTATGGAAATTAGCATTTCCAAGGTGACCATTTATAAAAGTTGTTCTCCTAAGTTGTTGAATCATTTTATCCGTTTGTTACTCTGTACATTTACCAAGCATATTATTATCTTTAGAGTTTGTAGCATTAGCCAATTCAGCCTAGAGTTCTCAATGTCTTTATTTTTGCTTTTATTATTTTAAAATCCTAGATTTGGAGGTGCATATGCAGGTTTATTACATGAATATATTGCGTAAGAGTGAAGTATGGGCTTTTAGTGAACCCACTACCCAACAGGCAATTTTTAAACCTTCACCCCTCCTCCCCCCTCCCTGCTTTTGGAGTCTGCAGTGTCTATTGTTTCCATCTTCATGTCTATGTGTATCCATTGTTTAGCTTCTTGCCTTGTAAGTGAGAACAAGTGGTATTTGATTTTCTGTTTCTGGGTTATTTCACTTAGGATAATTACCTCCAACTCCACTCAGATTGCTGCAAAAAACATGATTTCCTTCTTTTTTATAGCTTCAGAGTATGCCATGGTGTATATATACCACATTTTCTTTTCTCAGTTATCTGTTGATGAATATTTGGGTTGTCTTTTTTTTTTCTTTTATAATGCATATCCATCTTTTCCTTCTTTCTCCAAATCTGTTATTCTATTACTGAAGAGAACTTAGTGGGGAGACGCTAGACTCATCAGACTCAGTAGCATCCTAAATTGTTACAAATCTCAAAACTGCTGCTAAAGAAACTTTACCAAAGCACAAGTCTTAGGATACCACATCCTTTCTTAAAACTCTTAGAGTTCTCTGTATCCCTATAGTTTTCAGGATAAAGTTGAAAGTCACTCGCTTAGCTCATATGCCCCCTTATACACTGGTTCTGTTATCTCTCAGCCCCTACTGATAATTTTCTGCCAACATTTATCCATGTAGGCTATGGATTCACTTGCAGTTACTAAAGCATTCCCAAAGTGTGTTCAGCAGAATGCTAGTATTACAGGAATGGAAGGATTTCTCTGATTAAAGAAATCTGGGAAATTCTGGGTTAAACAGTTAAACATTCTTCTTACTGAACAACTATACAGAGCTTCTAATATGCAAATGTGCATTGTGCCTCTTACACAGGAAAAACGTATGCAGCAGCACTCCAGTATAAAAAATTGCACAGCCAGTTTTTATCCCACATGAGGAATTTCTCTAGAGTTTCATGTTGGAAATGCAGTTGGAAAAGGATGTTATGCTCTCTGATGACTCCAGGCTTTCACACAATGATCACTACTCCAAAATGTCCATACATACTTTTCATCCAGCTAATTCCTCAACCAGTTTATACCTCAGGGCACTCCAGTGGAAACTCACCTCCCTGTTTGACTTAAGTGTCCCTCTTCTGAGATTGCTAGCCAGGTACACACATCCAGCAATTAGCTCTCTACCCTCTAAGCATTGACACTTGTCTTTCTCCCCATTTTGATACAAGTTCCTTCAAGGTAAGAACTTAGAACTTCATTTAGATCTTACACGGTACTTAGAAGTTGCTTGGCAGATATTTATTAAATGCAGAAATGAAAGACAGTACAAAGTTAAATTTAAATTTTCATGAAATGTCACATTGGCATTGGCAACATTAGTTAGGCCTATTTATATTAGCAGAAGTAACAAAGTTTCATTTCCAGATGTTGGTAATGCTGTAGTACACAGAGTTAGTGGAATTACATACTTAAATAGCAATAGCACTACACTCGGAACGAATAGATTTGGATTTCTGACTTGGTTGTGACATCTTTTATAAATATGTCTGTGACCACATAAAAGTTTGAGTATATATTTCACTTTCTCTAACATTGCAACAAAATACCTGCTATGTGATCAGACAAAACAATGTTTGTGAAAGTGTTTTAAAATGTCCCAGAACCATTAACATGCCATGTTACTATTGACCAATTATTTACTTGCATGCATACAAATGTTTGGCAATTTAAATGAGCAAAAAACTGATAACTATGTCCTACCACCCCTACAGATTTTACTGTGGGCAGCTTTAAAGGAAGCATCTTGGCAAAATAGGAAGAAAAGCACCCAACATTTTTCAAACACATTACAGGATATAATTTTGCAAGTTGTAAGACAGTTTTATGCTTTCAGATTAAGCTCTCAGTTTCAAAAGAAAATGACAGAGAACCATTTGGCTTTTCAATCAGTCATGTCTAACCCAAATCACCTACAATCTAGGCCAAAAAAATAACTATATCAATTTTTCACTGAACTTATGAGTAGCTAAAATTATAGACAGAATCTTCCTCTTGATCAGGTTCGTGTGTACTTTGGATTGCATGATTAAGCCCCATATTGCATTATTACTGTAAAAACTCACCTTGTTTTTGAATTCTTGACAGGGTGAATGATTTCCATTTCCCATCATTATAGTTTTGATTGCTGACAACAGAAGCCATTCCCGAACCCAGATCATAACTGACTTTTATGTGCCCATCAGTGAGCTCCACACTCATGAAGTCTCTCTGTTAACAGAGTAAACATACACCAGTGATTAGATACACAGAGAAATATATGAGTGTTCGCTTTTTTTGGCGGGGTTTATATTAGGATCTTGTGGCTAAATTGCTGAATATGTCGCTCTGTTACAGAACCCATTTTGAAAATAGAATTGGTATTCCTATTTTCTGAAATTTTGTGGCTGTGATACTATGATCCAAATGGTCACAAACACATTTCTAAGACATACTCTTTTATTACAGTAGTAAAATGTGAGTTCCTTTGAAAACATATTAAGTGAACCAAAAGGTACGTTCCCTGAAAGAATTCACTAAGAAATACTGACCAGAAAAAAACGAGGCCAAGGAATATTTAGAATCACCTTTTCAACTTATGTCTCTGAAAGAAGATAAAGGAAGCATTTTGATGCTGCATGGCTCCATGCTGGGAACAATTATTACTGGATGCATTGCTTAAAGGATTATGTGGAGAGTTGTACCAAAAATAAATAGTAATTAAATTGAATCTGTGATTACAGTTATTAATGAAAATATATAAGCACTATCTGTATCACCTATTCTTGGTTGTCAGATAGCCACCCCAGACTTCTAAAAAAATAATTGATAATTTTACCAATAACGGATAAAAGAAGCAAACACATTTTCAGTCACAGAAGATCTGCTATGCATATGATCTTTACCAGGTCTCGTGTGGCAAGATACATCAGGAGAGCACTCGACGAAAATGTCCTGAACTTGAACATGACAGTGGAGATGTTGGGGTACCAGCGAATAGGACGACTGACCAATGCATAACCTTCTCCATCAAATTGAATAGTCCCCTCACTATCTTCCACCTGAGGACTGAGAAGAGAGGCATTTCACATGAATCAGATCATGTCTCTTTGGTCTGTCGTTATTCAATGCACCATTGAATAGTGATGAGTTTGCAGGCTGTGGTAGGGCAGCAAGTATCCTAAATACATCTTCATTCCTTCCACATATCTCCACCTCTACTGCCACTGTGCTAGACTAAGTAAAAACCATCTTTCACCTTTCATTAGGAGTGCAATAACTAAGTCATTATTGTTTTTAGTGCTTTATATTTTGTAGAAGTACTTGGTAGTAGATAATTACATTGATGCTTAAGGGTGTCTTAGAGGTATTTGGGCAAAGTGGTGGGGTTTCTGGATGGGCTGAGAAGACATTATTACACTTCTCATATATAGAATCCTACTCTGAATTCTTGCCTTCTAACAAGTATTTCTGGAACAAATTAGATTCAGACAATGAAGGAGGCTTGTATTTTTTTTTGTACTTTTTTTTTATCTGTCTCCTTCACTAGAATGTAAATTTCATGAGATGATCTAAGAGATTATGGGCCAGGTCCTAGTCAGGCCCAAACTCAGCATTTAGCACATATAGTACAGTACTTGGATCCTAGAATCCAGTTGATGTTTGTGTGATGAAAAAGATTTTAGTATAGCAAATTGCCTCACAGAGAATACATGTTTAATCAATATTGGATGCATAATTAATGAATATCTAAGATAAGTCTTGTGAATACAACATTTAAAATACTTTTTCCAAACATGAGGCTATTTTTATGTATCTCTCTATCTACCTGTCTATCTGATGCTATAGCAGTTGTGGAGATATCTGCGGGAAAGAGTTATGGGTTGGGAGTGGCTAAACACAGAGCTGTAGATCAGTCGATTTCACTTAATTCATTAGCTATCACCTGGAGAAACAAAGTAAGTCTGGCTTTGGATTGGAGACTATGGGATGAGAAAAAATATGAGTCCTTCCAGGTATATTCTATAATGTTTTGACATAGAATAGAATAGAGTTATCCTATTCATTCTGAATATATTTACCAAAAGACCCCTACTCTTTTACAATTAATAAATGCTAAGCTTCTTAACTTGCCTTTTGTTTCTCTTTTGAAACTTGATGTCTGGTAAAGTTAGTACAAATTAATTATGCTATTTTGGAGCAACTATGTTCTTCTACATGTAACTCTAGTCAACAAGACCCAGGCGAATATTGGGTCTTAGTCTATTTAAAATATCATCATTTCAATGTTTAGCTAACTACATTTTACTTATAGCAACTTTTTTCCCTTGCTTTAATCTTAATGTGAATTTAGAAGTGTGAGAAAAGTAAGATACACTTTTAAAAATATCTTTGACAGATTACTCTTTCTAAAGCATAACAACAATTTTATCTCTTCTACTGACTATTGAATAAATGCAAATTTCTAAAATTGACATTCTAAGGTCTTCACAACATTTTCTCAGTCTACCTCTTTTAGCCTCCTCTTTTACATATTCTCCATAAAACCACTCTTGCTCTTTAGTAGGAATGATTGCTCTTTATGTTCAAATGTGATAAGTGTTTTCCTGAAAACAACAAATAAACAAACACCAGGAGTTCTATAAAAACTATTCTTACAAGTAACAGGGCTTCTGAGAAAATAGGATTGGGGCCGACCACTAAAAACTTATACAACTGGCATGGCGTGGTGGCTCATGCCTGTAACCCCAACACTTTGGGGGGTCGAAGTGTGTGGATCACAGGGTCAGAAGTTTGAGACCAGCCTGGCCAATATGGTGAAACCCTGTCTCTACTAAAAATAAAAAAAAAAAACTAGCTTTTCTTCCCCTCCTGGTGATGTCTTTTCATGGCTGGGACTAGACTGTATTCATTCTAGTATCGGGAGGTTGGAAGTATCAATCTCTGCAACCTACAAAACACCCTATGAATATATAGGAGTACTATTATAATCATAAATTAGCATAATTCTTTATATGTTGAAAGCGCAAAATCTTTGCAGAATTGGTAATTAGTGATGTTATAGTCTCACATGACATGCACTGCTAAATGGATATTTAAATGCCTTAGATGTTTTTTTGATAATAAGCTTTTGAAAATCCTACTTAGAAATTTACCGAAGAAATGCTTAGGGAAAAGTTGGTGTTTGTTTGTGAGTAGCAGAATATTAATGTGGGTGTCAATGTCTTTCATGTATTGAAAGAATTTTACAGACAACCTTCCATGTTAGATGCTGTTGAAGATTATTGACAAAACCATTTTAAACAGTGAGTGGGTCGGGCTCACAAACTATCCTCAATTTCACGTTGACAAGTCCATGATGTCAAAAAGAAACAAAGAGTTAGAAGTTAAAACTTCTAGAGAGATAACATTTTGGGGCTACTTTCTTCTATGAAACTCTAGAGAGGTAGAGAAGGAAATGTAAAGTGTACTCTTTAGCAGGGAATTGGGTCCTAGAAGAAACATATGTATGTCCTTTATATTGAAAATAACACAAACTCCTTAGCACTTAATGGTTTTTGAGTTGCTGTTATGACATGTTAAATTTGCAGGTATTTAAAGTATGTTTTGTAGTTTTAATGTAATATAATAAAATTTCTTTAGGCTTGGGTGAAAAGAGGGCTCTAAGATTTTCATGCTGATAAATCCTCTACTTCTAGCTAAATGTTTTATATTCTCTGTTCATTTTTATATAAAAATGTTTATCCTTTACATATGCTTAATATGATAGGATGTTAAATACTTTCAAATTCCTATTTGTTCTACCCTCTATCTTATAATTGAGGACATGTATTAGGCACTTTCTTCCTGGACTATCTTGGCCCCTTGTTCTCCTCTCTTGAAGCAGAATCTTTAAATCCCATAGGTTTCCACCTGAAGCACTTGTAGGATCCTATGTGTCAACTGAAAAAATCCTGTAAGAGATAAAACCTGGGATAGGATCCTAATTTTTTTAAAAAACATAAATGGAGTGAATTCATGCTCAGCAAGGCCTGAAATTTAATCAGTTTTGGGAAAACTCTCTTTAAGAAAAAAGAAATTATAACAATAAGATACTCACAGACACAAAAAACCCCTTGGACATAAAGGGACATTGGAGTAGAAAGAGAATAATCTCTTAACTGATCATAGTCAAAATATCTTACCTTTGCAAATTTTATAAAAACATATGACTATGAAAATATACTGCTAGTATATCTCACAGGACCTTGGAAAATGCCTGCACAAATGCAGGCAGGGACTGGAAGATTCATTAGTTTTGTGGTAATTTCACCTCTGAGCATAATCATTTCAAACCTGCTCAATATCATGCACATGATAACAGAATATTATGCAATAAAATCGAAGTTTTTATTATGCACAGAACAGACCCTGGGGAGAGATCCCATCTCAACTAACCTGACAGTACATCCTTTGCAGTCACCTTCTTTTTCTCGGAAATTCCACAAACCTATAGGTTTGTTGTCAAAGTATGTTTCTCCCATGCAGCCGGTGAATGTAATCACACGTACGGCATCAGCCTTCTGCAGAAAGAAATACCGTATTTGTTAGAATTTGGAGTTTCACAAGTAATCTTGGTTTATCCATGGGAGTTATTATCAGCAGAAGCTAAATTGATCATTATCCATTCTTCCTGATATGTTGGCATTTGCACATATTCATCTTTCCATCGTATTATATCAATATCCTTAGCGCTACTCCAGGATGAGTCAACAACAGAAGAAAAGCTCAGCTATTTTATCAATGAATGTTGATTACTCTTTGCTCCAGCAGTTTTCCTCATTGGTAAATAAACACTTCCCAGCTTCTTACTTTAGGTGAGCTGCTGACCTCCACAATTTTATTCTTTTGTCTGTAATGTGGAATTGTTGTGAGAATACAATTAGATTATTTATGGCACCAATCTCAGTGCCTGAGATACAGAAGGAGTTTAATAAACACTAGTGCTCCTACATCATTTTTTGGGGGGGCAAATTTGGGCCACACATACACAATGATTTTCCCCCTGAAATCAGAAGAAAGAGTACATGCTGATGACATAGAAGAGATTTTTTAAAAGCACTTGTATAAATCACTCTATGATAGTGCTGCTCTAAATTTTTTAATTTCTCTTCACAGCCAAGAAGATTTTAAATTCAAGAGAATGAAGAAAAAGAAAGCAACTTTGTATGAAAAGAAATCATGTTGGCGTCATTTGTTGGTATATACAGCACCGGGCCTGGAGTCAAATAAAGAATCAATAAATAATCTGTTCAAATTCAATCCTGGTGTCATTTTCACAGGAAAGGTCTTAGGCTTGATGCATACAACAATCATGAAGAAAGGGAATGACCTGCTTCCTCCTAGAGAAGTTGGTTGTACATTTAAACAACCTTTTTTGGCATTGACATATTATAAACATTTTGGTAAGTGACAGGTCACATATATGATGGTGCTTTCATAAAATTATAATACTGTATTTTTACTGTATGTTGTTTATGTTTAGATACACACATACTAACCATTGAATTACAATTACCTACAGTAGTATTCAGTGGAGTAACATGCCGTAGCCTTGGAGCAGTAGGCTATACCATAGAGCCTAGGTGTATAGTAGGCTATACTATCTAGATTTGTGCGAGTACCGTATGCTCTACGATGTTTGAACATTGAGGAAATTGCCAAATTCCATCTTTCTCAGAACGTATTACTGTTATTGAGTGACACTGTCATGTTATATTCTGGTGCTTATAACTTTAAAAACTGTGCCAAAGTAAACCCATATTTACTCGAATTATCTGGAAAAAACAGTGCATTGACTCGTCTGGTTTTGAGAACACACATAAGAAGACACTTACTGAATAGTTAACATTTTGTAGCTATAGTTGTAGCTTAAATCCATCAACATGTACATCTTCCCACTGCTGTGACCACATGTTGCACAGCCACATAGAGAGACTGTTGGTCAGAGCCCCTGACTTGCATATCGGAGTGGTCCTTGCCATGCTCTACCATCATTCTGAACCTCTTAATTTTCTAGAGATTGATTTTCCTACTTACGAATTCTACTTGCTTTTTGCTTCTTCTTGAATCCTGAAAAGCTATATTTGAGAGATTTTCCTGCTTATTTGAATGCTCATCAGCAAGTTCATTTAGTTGTTTTCAGCTTTAGGTTCATATTCTGGTGTGGCAGGAGCCTTATAATTCTTGGCCAAAATGATTTCTTAAGGTTTTCTATAGATTTCATTTGTTCATGTTTTCTTTCTTTTTTCTGAGACTGACAGAATGCTGCTTTTGTGCCAATGATATTTGCATAATAATTATTAAGGTACAATTTAGGTGTGACTACCACATCTTAGCTATTTGCCATATGTTTTATACACATCATCTCACTATTCACTGCGGCACTGAAGCAAAATGTTGAGAATGAAGACTGTTGTGCCTATTAACCTGTGTTTAAAGCCCAGCTCTGCTAACTACTGTGTGACCACAGTCAAGACACTTAACACATCTCTTCTTCAGATTTCTTAACTATAGAATGAGGAGAATATTAGTATCCACCTTGCTATGCTGTGAATGTTTGTGTCCCTCCCAAAATTCATATGTTAAAATCCTACCCACCAAAGTGATGGTATTAGGAGACAGGGCATTTGAGAAGTGAGTTTTAGATGGGGCAGGGCCTTCATGAATTGAATTAGTCCCTTAAAAAATAGGTCCAAAGGAGCTTGTTCACTGCTTCTACTATGTGAGAACACAGCAAGAAGTCTCCTTCTATGAAAAACTGGCCCTCACTAAACACCAAATCTGCAAGTACCTTGATCTCAGACTTCTTAGCTTCAATAACTGAGAAATAAATGTTTGTTTATTTATGAACTACCCAGTTTCATGGTATTTTTCTTATAGCAATCTTAACAAACTAAGACCTACCTTTTAGGGTTGTTGTAAAAATTAAACAAGTTAATTCATGTAGATTACTTAGAACATTACCTAGCATATAGGAAGGGTTATAAGAATGTTAAAAAAGGTATTATTGCATCCTACAATACGCAAGCAAGGTAGGTATTTTTATCATTCTTTTCTAGTTGAGAAAACCAAAGTCCAAGGGTTTAAGTGGCTTGCCTAAGGTCATATTTTAGCAAGTGGGAGAGGAGAGGACTCAAATCCTGGATTTGATTTCGAAATTCATGGCTTTTTGTACTACTGTGTGCTATCCCTATAGTTATCTATCTGTGAAGGAGAGAAAGTCGATAATATGACTATATATTACTATGTACTATATACATTTATATAAAGCTCTAAGCAATGAGGATAACTTTAGCATGTGGTTTTGGCATCAATTCTCATACTTTAGAGTCACATCTCGTACTTAAAGCAAATAAAATAACCTCATTCTGTATGAAGGTTGAGTCCTCATAAATTTGAGGTCATCCTTGCTTTTCATATTTTCTGACTAATCTCATCCCAGGGTGATTCTGACAAGCCCAGGATTATCCATCATATTTGTTGTGCTCCTGCATCTCACCCACAGTGGTTTCCCAACACCTAATTCCATTTAATCAACACAAGCTTCTTTAAAAGACAGGCATTTTGCAATTTGAAATGAGCAAGGACTGTCATGAAGCAATTATGAATATTAAATGCATCACCCTATAAGAATAAAAGCAATCTGAAAACTTTAAAAACCAGATCATGTTTTGAAAGCTTATAGCTCCTGTGATATTTCCCAAACTGTTCATAAATCTTTTAATTAGATGTGAGTAGGAACTTTATAGCACTTCATATCTATAAATCATAAATTGATTCAGAAGATGAGGTATACTTAAAAAACACTTTGCTCTTGAGGCAACCAAAACAAGAATATACAAAAAACTGATGCCACAGATAAAGACAAAACAACAGCTGTTTAAGTAAATACACAGAGGCTTAAAAATATTGTGTTTCCAGGTTGAATATTCAAAGAAGAAAATTCTTACTCAAAATAAATTCATGTTTTCATAAACGCAAGTTAAGTAAAACATGGTCAAGTTTTACAGAGCTTTTTCATGCCTTCTCCTGAAGCAATCATGTCAGGAGTTGTCAAAAGATGAAATAGAATGGGAGGAGGATGAACACATTACCTTTAATTTCCCAGTCAGGCCACCAACAAACAGCATTGCATTTGCATCCACATCTAGAATAGTGTACCCTGGAGGAGACGTCGAATGGTATGTGCTGGGCATAATGCTGGCTTTGGGTCCATCCAGGGCTCTCACAGAAATAGTTCCATTTCTCCCAGTTCTTCAAGAGTACATGTTGAAATGAAGGGGAGGAACATACAGAAAATGAAATATGTGTCACATTTCTGGTAATTCCAGATTTAAAAGGTATATAAAATGCAGAGACTTGTTCTTAAGAATTTAGGAGAAAACTGGCTGTTTAGTTTCTAGCATTCCAAATTAATTATATGTCAAATCAATACTCAGAGTCTGATTTTGGCTGAACACTTATATCAGTTTCAACCAGAACCAGTGTGCACCATATCCTGATTCTGTGTGTGTGTGTGCATTGACATGAAATGACACAGCAGCAGTTAACTGATGGAATTGCTGTTGGTTAAGTGGAAAGACTTTTTTTCTATGGCTTATATAATAATTTACTATTTACCAACACATACAATTTACACAAGTTTATATTGCTTTATTCAGCATTTTGTCTAACTTAATTTAGCAATGGACCCCAAATGAGCCACCTTCTATATCATAAGCTTTACAATTTTTCCTAAAATTCTTTTTAATATGTTAGATCGCCGTTTGTTGAAGTAGTCTTCCTGAAATGGCATAAATTTTATTGTTTGGCACAGCATCTTAACGTATGTAGTACAATATCCACCTTTCAGATTTCAGTGTACAAATTGCATAGAAATTCACTTTTAAATTCAATTAACAGGATTTTAAAGTTATTACCATTTTATTTCATTTTATTTTTAAAGTGATTGATTTCCATGAGCTGTTAAATATGAAAATCTGGTCTCTCTTTTGAGACGAGCAGTCATAACAAAACTTCCGTGTCATATTTCTCTCCCTGCTGTCTCATTTTGGTAATCTTTTTATCTTTGAGGATTCAGTGTTAAGTAAAATACATGATAACAAAAGAATGAATTTATCAAATAAGGTTCACCTTCTTTAACAGAATGTATATTTTCTGAAGGAAGAACTGTACTTGATGAGTATAAATGTCCTTAAACCCGATTAAGTACTTAATTCCCTTAACACCACCAAACGTGAAAACACTCTGCCACTCTCTCTCTCACATGCACACACACTTTTGCTGAAAAACTTGCTTAAAAAGAACTAAAAATATTGCTTCTCATTTTTTTTTTCTACTTTTATTTTTTTCTAAGAGATGAAGTCTTGCTATGCTGCCCAGGCTGCACTGCAGTGGTAATTCACAAGCACAATCATCATGCACCACAGTCTCTAATTCCTGGGCTGAAGCGATCCTCCTGTCTCGGTCTCCCAAGTAGCTGAGACTATGGGCACATGGCATTGCACATGGCTCCTTCTTCCAAGCTTTTTATTATGGAAAAATTTAAGTATATATAAACAGAATAAAACTCTATGTTTTCATCACCCAGATTCAACAATTACCAGTTAAGTCTTCTCTATCTCTAATCAGCTTCATGTCTAGCCCTAGGCCCTTCACCATACCTCTCAACTGTTAGCTGCTTTGGGCTTAACAGGGAGTTGAGAATTGGGAGAACCAGAAGAGAAAATGAGAGAGAAGTGCTAAAGACAGGGATAGTTCTGTATGTAATCTACATGCTGCTAGACGTTGATAATTGCATTAAACCTCCAAAGATACAATAACGGAATCAATTCTTGATTACTTCCCATTTTAAGTAGGGTGGACCCTGATATGCTACATACGAATTTCAGCATTTGATACTATTTGTACCTATGGTGGCTATGTAGACTGAAAGAGAAGTTGTGTACACCAAAGACAGGCAATAATGGCAGCTCTTATGCTCTGGCTTCTACTTCCTAAGAATGAGTGGCAGTACTTTTCTCAAGCGAGATAGGAAGACTAAAACAGGTATACTCCCAAATTCCTACCAGACATAAGATGAAGGGGTCAGAAATGGAATGATTCCTCTGGCCAATACCAGGATCTGTCAGTTCCTAACAAGTAGGACAAAGATACCCACTCCTAGACATGTATACATATAATATGTAAAATTCATATACATGTGTCTACATACATACACAGCTGCCTTATTGAAATGGAAATAGAAGTTTTCTTATAAACTGGGAAACTATTTCAAAATTCTGTCATTTAATTATCTTAATCTTTATTAAGTTGGTTACCTTGATGCTACGATACGGTACCAATAGGAGTCATCAATAGTCAAATCTGGGTACTCTACGCGTCCAACTCCAGATCCAACATCCCAGAGGAAACTGACTTTGCCTTTACGCATTTCTATAGCCAGAAAGTCAATCTAGTTCAGAGAAATACAAAAACAAGAGATATCAGCTATAAAGCACTTTTAAAGAGGAGACCAGCAGAGTGTTTTTCAATAAGTGCCATTTGCAGACATGTGAAATATTTAGAAGCTTCATGATAGTATTTGTCAAATAGTATTATTTATTATTATATATTACTAAAATAATATTTTATTTTTGTAACCTTAAGGCAAAAAACAATTCATAATGCTCAGGCATGTTTGTTAATTTTACCAATTCTAGTTAGGTCTAATTTTGAGACAAAAGCCTTTCTCACTCTGGTACTTGTGGTAAAGATGAAAGCAAATATTTAAATTTAGACTTCATTGTTATTTTCACCAAGGATATTGTCATTTTTCAGAGGGCAATTATGATTTTATTTCCCAAATTGACCCAGAATTCCTTACCCAAATGGCAAATATTGACTTATGCCATGACAGATTTTTTTAAGAAGTCTTATTCATTTTGGAAGATCCCCATGCATGCAAAGTCAAATAGTTCAAATGGAAGAAATTAGAACTTTATAGATGGGCTTTTATAGACATAATCTGTGTTATTTCAATTTGGGTCATAAATTCAACACGAGTTTGAAGAGTTTTCTCTGGTAAAAAAAATAGTACACACTTTGCTATTTTCATTGCATTAACAGGAGAGTTTGTTGTAATTTAGTTTGAACAGTAAATAAGAGAAATAAATAAAAAGTAAATAAAATAGCTTTATTTTTATTAGCCTTTCTTCTTAAATCACTGAACCTAAAAATATAATTTAAAAGAAATGCTGATATATTGACAAATGAAAGTAAATGTGAATAAATACTGTAGTTTTCTTCCTCTCATTTGACTTATAACTTAATTTGACAATTCACAATTTTGTGAGGTAAGATGCTGAAGTTTTCAAATCTGAAAGCCTACATTAGACAATTTGGGGACCATGTTATTGGATTCTATACATTTTCCCTGATATCAGGATTAACCTCCAGCTATACACATACAGCAGCCTAATGAAAAGTTCAATATTAGACTTACAAATTTGGCACTTCCAAGATAAAAAAGGAGGTTGTCAGCAACAGCTGTCTTTACGTTGACAACAATATTATTATAACTTCCTTTCTTGATTTCTGGCCTGTATGTTCGAATGCAGTCACCTCCTGAAGACACAGATACTTTGATCTTTAAGAAAAACAAGGTACGAAGAACTAAGAGTAAATATCTCAGAAAGTTGGAAGTAGCTTCTGAACAATCACAAAGCCATCATCGTTTTTTTCTTTGAAGTTATTTTCCTATCATCAAATAGCATCATTAAACACCCATATGCAGACACCATTATACTCATTAATGAGGGCACAGAAGAGCAGTTTTCCAGTAGAATTTTGACAATGAGTTGTACACAGTTCCAAGTCAGGTAAGCATACTATTTTTTGAAGCATGCAACTAACAAATTTCTACTGTTATACCTTTCTCCATTGTGAATATGGGAACATTTTAGAAAGGTGATTTTACATGGAGCTAATGAGAATGATCTTTATTAAGGCTGTTTAATAAAATTTTACCATTGAAATTTCAGTGGTTTTGGTATCACTTAAACTAAGAAACTATTTTTCTTTCAGTTTTCAAGAGGAAATTACTTACTCTCCCATGCTCTTACAGTTGAAAGAGGACAAATAGATTTTGTTCTAGATGTTCTAACAATAAGAAGAATATTAATCCTTCCACTCAGAATGTACATTTCAGAATAAATTATACCTTTTTATGAAGTTGCCAGAAAATGAAATAGAAATAATTTCCAATGGCTATCACTACTAATGTATTTAATAGCTCCCTTTTCTTTTGAATAACACCTTAAAAATTACTATAAATTGCTAAAAAAGGAATTCCTATATGAATAGAGTAACACTGTTCACACCAATTTTTACTTACATGTAGAAAGCCTTCCTTCAATTGTATATAACACTGGTTGATTATTTGATTTAATTTCCATTGGGTCAGATGGAAAATCACCATCCAAGGGTTACTTTCAGGATAGCAAAATAGTGGGTTGGACTCAAAGGGAATCTGTAACTTTGCTCATTGATAGCATTCCGGAAGGAGGCAGGGAGAGGGGAAGATGTAAAACCTCTCTTTGCCATTTGTTCAAATGCCCTCTTGGCCTCCACTAGCAGTGAATTTCCATTTTTTCATTCTTCTAGCATTTTGTGCTACTCATGTAATTTGCACATTTGGAAGAAAACCAACCAGCGTTATTATTACCCCCATGGAAGGGCTGTGCCGGCTCCCAACAACATAGCTTAGAAACCAAAACAGCCTCCATATGATCATGACATCGGGAGGTGTCTCCAAGAGTCTCATTTGTGTTTGAGTATGGGCAGAACTGTGGCCCTTCTCCAAGGGTCATGAAAGTATACTGCAATTGGTTGTATTCAAAAGAAAAGGCTAAGGAGGGATTTTTGCAATAGGCAAATTCATACAGATTTGAGAACTTCTGGGGATACAGAAGATCTGTTACATCTCCTACAGACCTGCATAAGTCATTTATTTGTTTATTGTTGTTGCCTCATTTGATCTACTAATCAGATTGTATCTCCACAAAGAGGAAACTGTGTTCTGCAGAGAAACAAGGGCTGTTTCCTCCACCACCTGGAGGAGGGTGACTTCTGGGGGCCTGAGTGTGGTGCCCTGGGGCTGGACATTTCAGGAAGCGTACTGCTTAAACCACTTTCTTGTTCTTCCCTTCCCCAAAAAGTGGGGCCAGCTGGCCAACTGATCGGTGTAGGACTCGGGGCTGACTATGGTCCTCAGAGTGTTTGCCCTGTGTCCTAGGGAGATAGCCTTCTGGATAGGGTGGTTTTCAGTTGGGAAGTTAGTTTTTTGCTTCGCAAATCATGGAGTTCCCCTCCTACCTACAGTGTTGAGAGTAGGTGAGTCAAAATGAATTGCAATATGATGGAGGTAGGAAGTGTACAATTTTTACCTGGATGTTAATATGGTAAAGTAGATGAGCAATGGGCGTTGGCAAAGGGTGTCCTGTGCTAGAATAGCAGCTATACCAAAGGGTACCCAAGGAATTACAGATAAAAAGAATAAAGCAAAGCAAGAGAAAGACAACACAGTAGAGGGCAGGTGGGAAAAATATGCACTTCAGATATTTTTAACATTCAGGAAAGGGTGTTAGATATAGTAACTTTTTTAGCAATTTGCAGAAAGTGAACCAAAATCATTATCAGGGAAGACTTTGGCATTGAGAAAATTTAATATCTGAGGCAGGTTACAAGTGCCATTGACATCATAAGAGGATCAAAGAGAACAAAAAATCAAGATCTGACTGGAATTCATGAGTGGAACTGAATAGCATACTGCGTTATGCCTGGCAGACAATCATTCAAATTCTGAATAGGGCTGAATCAGTAGTAAAAAGTGACTGTATGTAGTTTACTTCATTTTTGTTTTATAAACACTTTATAGCTTGGTCCTATGGATGTATTATGGCTAGTTTAATTCCTAATAAATCAGTTTTGTTTAAAAAACACAATTGAATAATATCCCTCTGTTATTATTTAGAGTAGAAATGACTGAATATAAATGAAACGTGGGATCATTTGGTCACAGAATGAATCTCAGTCCTTGCTTAGGTAAACCTGGCAAAAATAATAGGGGATGACATGATTGGTGTGTTGAAAAGGGGATTGTCAAAGTATAGCAGACAGAGAGGGGCGCAGTGGCTCACGCCTATAACCCCAGCACTTTGGGAGGCTGAGGCAGGTGGATCACGAGGTCAAGAGATAGAGACCATCCTGGCCAACATGGTGAAACCGTGTCTCTACTAAATATATTTTAAAAAACTAGCTGAGTGTGGTGACATGTGTCTATAGTCCCAGCTACTCAGGAGGCTAAGGCAGGAGAATCACTTGAACCTGGGAGGCGGAGGTTGCAGTGATCCAGGATCATGCCACTGCATTCCAGCTTGGTCACAGAGCTAGACTGTCTCAAAAAAAAAAAAAAAAAAAAAAGTGTAGCAGACAGAGCAGCAGCGCTGAACTCTAATTGACCTGGTAACACTCCATCTGAGAATTCCAAGTCTAACTGAGCATCTAATGCCACTAGAGGTTACAACCGATCTACTGTATGAAGACATATGTGATAAATGTGATTCTTAGAACAAAACAGAGGTGTTATACTTAATATGCTACCAATTAATTCTGTAGAGTAAGTGCTATGACTTCAATATGTCCACCAAAATTTATGTGTTTGAAATTTAATCCTCAGTGCAATAGTGTTGGGAGGTGGGCCTTTTGGGAAGTGTTTCAGTCATGAGGGCTCTCTCCTCATGAATGAATTGATGCCACTATTAAAAAGGCTTACAGGGGTGAGATATCTCTCTCTCTCTCTCTCTCTCTCTCTCTCTCTCTCTCTCTCTGTCGCTATTCTGCCATATGAGGACAAAATTTTCCTCCTCTCCTGAGGATGCAGCATGCAAAGTGCCATCTTGGAAGCAGAAAAACTGGTCCCTAATCTGCCAGTGTCTTGCTCTTGGACTTCCCAGTCTCCAGAACTGTGAGAATAAATTTCTTTTCTTTACAAATTACCCAGTCTGTGACATTCTGTCACAGCAGCACAGAGTGGACTAGACAGTAACCTCCTGCTCAGTTCTCACACATTCATAAAGAAAATCCTCTTGAATTGTCTGCTGTCTGTTCTCTGGTTTTGGATATACTCTCAGAACCTGAAAATTTTACTTAGCCCAGACTATTGACAGCCAGTACATAACTGGTAATCTCTTCCTTTTGAATACTTTGTGTTTTGATTTTCAATTATAGGTATTTCTTTTAAACAAGTTAAAACAGGAAAATCAAAATACTATGTCTCCAGAAGAAATCTTTAGGACATATCTCTCTTGCAAGAGGAGAGAAATTTCAGAAATTCAAGCATCCTTTTAGGATGTTTGACCCTATCAATTATTGTTTATTCTAATGCAGATCCTTAGTAAGACATCTAAACAAAAATCACTAAGCATTAAGTATCTTTAAGGCATTTCAACAACACAACATTATTTACCAGTTAATCATCATGAACTCAGACATTATTGAATATCCCATTATTATATCTATTGGATTTTCACTGTATTTTTCATCCTGTAAGTAGGTCATTCATTTAAAGGAGTATCAGCCACTCAATTTCAGAATCAACAAACCCAGAGAATGCTACTTTAAAATAAATGTCTTTAATGTTTTGGTCTTGTCAAGTATGTGCTAAGGTCATATCCAGATATCCATATTTACAAATCAGAAAATGTAATGTTCACTTAGTATAAAACTAATTTGAAAAAAAATTGGCTGCTTGCATATTTCTAACATCTTACAAAAAAATAAGGCCTGTGTTGTAATTCCATTTCCAAAAGTGATTGGGAATTTCTTTGAAATGCCTGGACAATGATTACTTTTGCTAGCATTACTGTTGTACCTTTCTTTCTTTTGAGACAGGGTTTCTATTTGTCATCCAGGCTGGAGTGCCATGGTGCAAATATGGCTCACTGCAGCCTCATCCTTTGGAGCAAGTGATCCTTCCACCTCAGCTCTCCAAGTAGCTGGGACTATAGGCATGCCCCACCATACTCACCTAATTTTTCAATTGTTTGTAGAGATGTGGTTTTGTAACATTGCCCAGGCTGGTCTCAAACTCCTAAGTTCATGCAATCTGCCCACCTCGACCTCCCAAAGTGTTGGGATTACAGGTGTGAGCCACCATGCCCAGCCTATACCTTTCTTTTATTTTGTACTTTAACACAGGTTTTATATGCTTACATGTTTGAATTTCACCCTTTTGTGAGTAGGGGAAAAGCACTCACAACTGATGAATATATGGGCATAGTTCTAGAAATCTTTACAGTGAAGAAATAGCAAAAATGTGTAGATTTCTCCACTTGATGACTAAGTCAAAAAATGTGGCTAAATGTGAGATTCACAAAGGAATATTTACTATTATTGCTTCTTCCTAGTCAACACTGCAAAATATAGGAGTGGTACATCACGGTTTTCTTTTCTCTTGCCACGGCTATAGTTGGGTCCTTCATTCTTTCTTTCATCTCCCTCACAAACTGCTTCTGGGTTTATATTAAAAAAGCACAGCTTCGATTATACTGTGTTCCATGCTCAAAGCTTTCAGCTTATCCTTTCCAGTTAGGCTTATCCCAAGTCCAAGTGTTGCTAAATGAAACTGCTTAACATATTATTGAAGGCCTGACAAGACCTGTCCTCTATTGATCTTTCTAGTTAAGTGTTTCCTTTACCAATTACTCTGGGAAAACTGAACCTTTTTTTTTCCCTAAATGGACCTTAAACTTCCTTCTCCCTCTGCCTTGGCTCAAGCCATTCCCCCTTCTCAGAATACTCTTCCTGTCCCCTGACGCCACCCTCAACTCCCCAGCACTATCCCTCCTCAATGCCCAGCTCCAATCCTTCCCTTCAGGAAATCTTCTGGCCCTACTAAAGGTGATGCTTCCTTCTAAAACATGTCACTGCTTGCAGCTCCTGTAATGTGGCACAGTGTTCTGCATTATGTGATAAGATATGTGTACATAGCTTTTTTTCTTACTATTTTATAAACTTTGTGAGTAAAAGAACTTCTTTATTCATCTTTGTGTACCTTATAGAAAGTAACCCTGAACATAGTAGAGGCTTTTTCCATGTGGCCAAATCTTAGATAAAATTTCAAACCTTGAAGTAACGTCTGGTGTCTTTTAATCTTGTGCTTTACATACATAATGATCACCTGTTGATGATACCGCCTGGCTTTCATATTCTAGCTGAATATATGACTTCTCAGATCCTTTCACTGATGTATTACTGTGATCTTATGTAATATCATCTTCACTAATCTCTTTGTTGTTTTTCAAGTTTTTTTGTCAGTCAGTCGCAAATTCCTTTCCATGTTCACCTTGAACTTACTGCCTTGGCCTTGTTTAGAAGTGTTAGATGTACATAGGGAGAAAAAAGAATATGCTGTTACTGGAGCATCATATTCTTTTTTTTTTATTTTTTTTTATTTTTTTTTTTTATTGAGATGGGGTTTCGCTCTTGTTACCCAGGCTGGAGTGCAATGGCGCGATCTCGGCTCACCGCAACCTCCACCTCCTGGGTTCAGGCAGTTCTCCTGCCTCAGCCTCCTGAGTAGCTGGGATTACAGGCACGCGCCACCATGCCCGGCTAATTTTTTGTATTTTTAGTAGAGACGGGGTTTCACCATGTTGACCAGGATGGTCTCGATCTCTCGACCTCGTGATCCACCCACCTCGGCCTCCCAAAGTGCTGGGATTAACAGGCTTGAGCCACCGGGCCCGGCCATATTCTTACATACTACTAAAATGTATCTACGAAAGGGCTTTTCTGATCATCCTGGCTCCAACGTTGTTCAAAACACGGAATATTTCACACGAAAGACTGAGGTATCTAACAAGGTTTGAGTTCAAGTCTGACCATATGAAAACTGTCTCTTTCTTTCCTTCTTTCTTTCCTTCTTTCCTTCCTTCCTTCCTTTTCTTCCTTCCTTCTCTTTCTTTTCTTTCTTTCTTTTTTCTTCCTTTCCTTTCAAGTTTCATGTTGGCACTTAACAACTTTGTCCTGGTTCATTAGCATGTTGTCTTCTAGAAAGTTCCATTACTATCCTAGTAAACTTCAAATTAGGCAAATAAAGAGCAAAATTTTGAGACAAATCAGTTATTTCCTATCTACTCCAAAATAAAAAAGAAATGTAAAAATTATAACCAAATCCATTTTTATCATTGCTTACACCAGGCAAAAGAACATATATAAAATGTTTCTCTTTGCTCTCATCCCATGTATTGTTCCTTCATTCCTGCCTTAATCCCACGAGTTGGCATTTTTTTTTTTTTTGGTTTATTTTTAGCAAGAGGAAGGCACTCTCATCCATACCTTTTTAGTATACATTAATGTTTTCTTTCTTGCTATTTGTATTACTCTATTCAAACAGTAGTAAAGTATACTAGAATTCCTAATACTAAACTATTCCTGATTCTAAAGACATTTCATGAGAACAGTAAGTGGTGATTATTGTTCTCATGAAATGTCTTTTGAAACTTAGAAACAAAACAAAACTAACCTTTCCCCCATTCCAACCCCTCCTACCTCAAATTGCTTCAAGTTAAAGGAAAAGAATCTGAGATCATTCAACAGGGAATTCTGGGGAAAGGCATTCCCTCTAGGAATAATCCAATTGCACTCAGTTACTGATACTGATGATAAAAAGAACTTACAGAATTGGCCTGCTTTCGAGCTTGGTTTATCAATTCCTTTATCTCAGAGATGTTTTTCTTCAGGTTATCCTCAAGTTCCTTGATGGGTTTGAGTTTATCTATTAGCCGGTCAGCTTCCTGTTGTAGATTTTTCACAGTAGCATCTGCATCTGCAACTGCATAGAACAGAATCAATGTGCACGTATACACATGCACACACGTGCACACACAGAATTAGAATAGCAGTATGCTTAACCAAACAATTTCATCTTATTAACGTGACAAAGCATGACCATAACTGCTAAAGCAAAATGTGTGATGGCTAATGTGAATATTTTAGTCGTGACTCAAGCAGGCCAGAGGAGTAGATGTTAGGACAGAGGGCCATCACTTTTGCTTTGTGATTAAGGTAAAAATTAGCATTGAAGATAGAGCATATGAACTTAATTCAATGCTTAATTTCTAACTTCAGCCAAAAAGTTAACCTTTATAGAATAGAACTTTAGTCTCAGAAGCAAGGAAATGAAAGCATCTTTAAAATGTCACCTAGTCTGTCTGAGCCAGAACTGTATTTAAATTAGGGTTTTTACACAAAATTGGTTTTCTTTCTTTTTCTCACTGTCTTTTTTTTGCACCTCTTAAAGAGAGAAGCTATCAAAATGTCTTTTGAAGAACATTTTGATGTTGAAAAACCCTTAGACTAAAGCCCTATATCCCTTAATTAAATCTTTCATGGTGCAGTTCAATTTCATTTTGAAGAATAGTTGATTACCCTATATTATATATTAGACAGACCCATATTAAACAGCTGTTTTTGTAGGTTAAATAAAAATAAAAGGTTACATATTGGCAATTTCAAAAGTTTCAACCCTAGAATAGTTGAAGGTCATCACTGATCTATAGACTTTTAGTATGTGCTTTCCAAGGGAGGGCATATAACACGTGGTAAACCTCTTATTCTATTGCTGAGGTGCTGGCAGTCTCATCCACACTACGTCATTTATTATCTGATTAAGTGTGTATTGTTCAGCTTTCTGTCATTGTGACTCCAATGAAAAAGTTAAACTGCTTAAAGTTCAAGGCTATATGCCATGTTAGACTCTGAATGATCTACTCTGCAGCTGGCAGACAACCACTGAGAACTAACCACCAGGAATGAATTAAATGTGCTCAAAGGGATGTAAATTATTATTTTTTTAAAAATTAGGTTTCGAAGTAGCTATTTTGAACTCATAATCATAACTCATGACTTATATTGTTAGTGGCATTTAAAAAGAACATAGATCTATTATTAACTTTAATAGATTTGCTATATTAAGAACTGGGTGCAGTATTTTTTCCCCGAGATGCATGTTATCTGGATAGAAGTGTGTGTTACATCATCATACGGATAGCATAAACACAGTTATCTCTTTATTTTGTATACTTTTAATAAACCATTTGTTCATTTTCCCCTTCCTTTAAGTCTCTGTGGTTATTCTGGCATTCTACAAATTATTCTAACACTGAGGCAAAATGATTTAGATTTAGATTAATGAGAAAGAGAAAAAGTAGTTAAAGACTACCTAGACTTAGGCAAATTACAGACCCTTTTATTCTCAAGTTCTCAAAAATTTTTGCCAAATGTTTCAAAATGGAACTTGGAAGTTGGTCTTCTCCCTGCTTTTTCCCGTATCCTCTGGAACAGTTCAAGTTTTGCCGAGTAATCTCTTTCGTGTTAAATTTCCTCCCTTATCTAGTGATACATCTTTTAGAGCTTCACCTGTTTGTTCTTTATTTTTGTTGATGAAACCTCACAATCACTTAATTTTAATTTATAATCCTAAGAAGTCACCTCTTAGATTTATCAGGTCTATTATTTTCCGTCTTCGAATTCATTAATTTTTCAATCTTTTTTATTCTTTAAGTTAACTCTGCTTTTTCTAAGTCGCCAAGTCGATTGTTTAAAATTATTATTTCAGTGATGGTTTAGTAATGTAATTGCTCTAATTTTCCACTGAGGACACCCTTGGTCATAATTTTAAAATATTGATATGTTAAATTTTGTTGTTATTGTTATTATTTTTATAGCTCTGTTTTTCAGTTCTTTTTTGACTTTCAACTTAAAATATGGGATGTTTAAGGGAGAATATTTTTATATCCCAGTAGGTGCTCATTTGTTAAGACCTAATTTTATTACGTGTTTCTCCAAATATAATTCTACAGAAGTTGAAAGTAATTGCTAACTAGGAGAGGAAAATGTGATTTTTTGGGGGTGGGTGGATGGGGGAACAACAGCAATGTAGATCTAATCTATATTAATCCTGTTGCAAATAAGTCATTTGTGTGTCAGGGGCTGAATTTATATTATCAGAAGCAACATAATCTAGTTAATTCTATAGAGAAATTCAGCTTTCCACTTTTATCCGCTATCATACATGTTATTTCACTCATTTTTCCGTTTTTTTTTTTTGAAAGCCATTGACTTTATTGATCTAAAAAACTTTACAATGACAGTGACTGTTCTGCCAAAAAAAGGAGCCAAATGGTATCAAACGGACTGAAAGTGAGGGTGGGGGTGAGGGATAGGGCCAGGAATCCATTCAGGAAAGCCAGTAACTGCCACCAGGAAACTGGCAAGGGGAAAAGGAAGAGGGAGGCATGCAAGAGCGAGAATCCAAAAAAGTTGAAATGGCGAGGGGAGGAAACTCCCAAAGACCCTGGAGTACGTCAGAGGCGAGTACAACAATAGCAATCTTTTCCTCTGTAGGGGACAGGAGGGGTCCCTACTCAGCTGCAAACTCTGGATGAGGGCTGGGGATTGAGAGCTTCCCCGAGAGCATCACAAGAAGGCATCGAACCACTCTCAAAGGCATCCAAATAGAAATAAAGTCTTGCTATGTTTCCCAGGCTGATCTCAAGCTCCTGGCCTCCAGCGATCCTCCCACCCTGGCCTCCCAAAGTTCAGGGGTTAGAGTATGAGCCACTTCGTCTAACCAAACTTTTCACAACACTATTAAAAACATTTGATAACACTATTAAAAACATTTTATATTACCTATATCCACATATCACCTTTTTATAAAGGAACATGACTTTTACATATCTACCATTAATACTGCGACAGTGGAAAGAATAGCTCTGCAATGTTTAAACAAAACCAAAACATAGTACATGCAAAGCTGAAGCTTTTTGCAATAGGCAATGAAGCATGAGAGTTACTAAAAGGTACATAAGTAAATATATACATACTGATTTCTGGAGGCAATTTCACATGGAAGCAAAACAAAGAAAATTGAAAATTCATGAGGAAGTATTTTCTATAAATATTATAAAGTAGTAACTACAAAAATGGTACTTTTTATAACAAGTACTAATCGTAAATGCAACCCATTTTAACTCAAACAAGTGTTATCAAATGGAAGTGCACAAAATATATCATTTAGTGGCTACTATTTGTATCTTAAAAATTATTTCTGTGTTCTAGTAAGATAGAACACAGACCCAATTTAATTAATATTTATGGATAACTAACTGTTTCTTGTAATAGAGGATAAGATCAAAATGGAGATATTATGAAAGGCCACTACCAGTTGAGAATCAGTCGCAACTAGAATGGAATTCTTTTGGAAGGTAGAGTGCAGGAGGAGGGAGAGGGTCAAGAAAAATAACTAATGGGTACTAGGCTTAATACATGCGTGATGAAATAATCTGTACAACAAACCCCCATGACACAAGTGTATCTATGTAACAAACCTGCACTTATACCCCTGAACTTAAAATAAAAGTTTTAAAAGATAGCTTAAATTATAAAATAAGCAGAAGAGATAGTAATATTTGCTTAAAATTTTGTTTCATTCATTTTTAGTGGGAATATTGTGATTTGGCATATATGAGAAGATGTTATTCTCATGGAATCTTCGAACTACAAGGGAAGCCATTTCTGGGCTTACATTACAAAAATTTTGATGTTTTTATCTCCCCTTTCTCCCTGGCTCTGATGTTTATGTTATATGTGTTTGTGCTCTTCCTTGCTCATGAAGGAGTCATGTTAATAGTGTCTATTATGTCACAGCATCCATAGGGTTTGATTTGAGGAGAGGATGCTGAAATCAGGCTCCATTCCTCACTCAAACAGCATTTGAATTGTATGCCATGTAATACCAATTGTATGCCATGTAATACCAATTGTATGCCATATAATACCAAGTGCTTTTGCTTTTATACTCCAAATATTTTGATATCCCCAAAAAATGTTGGCATAAAAGGAGGGCTAGTCTCTTGAAAGCGAAAAGCACAAATTACCAAAGCATCTCCTTTGGTGAAACCGTTTACCATGGGTACCAAGATAACCCCTGCTTTTTTTTTTTTGAGACAGCATCTTAATCTGTCACTCAGGCTGGATTGCAGTGGTGTGATCACAGCTCATTGCAGCCTCAACCTTCTGGGTTCAAGGGATCCTCCAGACTCCGAATCCAAGTAGCTGGGAATACAGGTGCAATGTCACTACCATGCCTGGCTATTTTTAAAATCTTTTTGTAAAGATGGGGTCTTGCTATGGTGCTCAGGCTGGTTTTGAATTCCCAGGCTCAATTGATCTCTCACCTCAGCCTCCTAAAGTACAGGGATTACAGGTGTGAGCCACTGTACCTGGCCCAATATAGCTTTGTATCATTTGACAGACAAGGAAAAATGCATTTAAAAATTTTATTTTTTGACTATATTTAATTAATAATAAAAATTATATCTTCTCTCAGGTTTTCTCAGTAAATCCTTAAGTTGATATAATTTGATGCAATATATAAAAGATGTGAATAATCTTTAGAAATCAGATAAACACGTTATTTTCATTTCCTGGAAATGTTAAATAACTGGAATCTAAATGATAAAATATCAAGATTTTCAAATATTAATGCATTTCAAGTTGATATCATTTTCATACCCTGTTCTAACAAGTCTGCTAATGAATGTGCCCCTTAACCTCTGTGTTCCAGGAAACTTCGCCAATTCTGAGGATATAATTACCCAAGTACAACTGTATTTTGAATTACACAAATGGGTTGAAAAGTGTTTGGCATCTGTATACCAAATATCATGCAGACCTTGGGAATTCCTAATCTCTTCTCAACTAGAAAAAAATCAGATGAAAAAAGCAGTGGTGCAGAGCTGGAAGACTTGGATTCCAGCTTTGGAACTTCAGGACACTGGCCTCCTGAACCCAATCTGTGAAACAAGGAAGGCACACTACACCACGGTGAGGGTCCTTTCGAACTCGAGCATTTACGAGTCTGGGATACTTCTACAGTGAAAGGAAATAAATGACATCATCACAGTGACAAAGGAGAACTTACTGTTCTTGGAAGGATCTTTAACCACAGCATTCGTTTTGGCTACGCTGTCTGCCAGTTTATTGTAATTCTTCTTCAGGCCATCGAGGTTCTGGTGGAGCTCTTTAATCTGTGCCAGTACGTCTTTAGCTGTGTCGTTGGCTTGCCTGGCTTTGTCCTTAACAGCTTGCAGTTTAGCAGCTGTGTCTGTCAGCAGATGAGGGTATGAAAAACAAAACAAAGGGTCTGGAGTTAGTGGCTTAATCCATGCTTGTCAAAGTGAGCCTGCGGCTGGCTGACCTCAGGGACGCATTTACAAAGGGAAAAGGCTGAACTTTGTCTTCAGGTGTAGCAAATGAAGCAAACTTTTTAGTTAAATTAAATTTTCTCAGGGACTTTTGCTATGAATACCTGATTAGCTCTTAACGTAGCGAAGTGACTATTCTAAACGTTCATTGTATAAGGCCATATTGCGATTTGCTGCTGAACTTATTAGCGAGACAAACTTATCCATGAGAGCTTCATCAAAACTAGGTTAAGATTCAGTCTGCATTTCCAAAGCAGGGCAGGGGTCGGGGTGGGGGTTGGAGGGAAACGAATGTATATTCATGTTAGGATGGAAAATATTTTCAGATATATTAGGCTGTGCATTTGTATATTTATGTTTGTTTTCACCATTGGAAATTTTCTATGAACTTACGACTGAAGAAGTGACATGAAAATCTGAAAAGTTACTCAAGTTTTTTAATGTCAAAAAAGTAAACACCTTTTAGATTTTAATATTAACTGTGTTGTATAAATATGTGCATTCGTCTCCTGATCCTAATTTGTATATTGTATATATAGATGAGTACTAGTGTGTGTAGGTTGGCGGTTAAGATCACAGGCTCTGAAATCAAACTGTGGGGTTTAAGTGTCCTATGTGCCACATTAACAGTATCCTTCAGTATCCTGAGTCTGTTTCTTACCTATAAAGTGGGGATCATAACACTATCTTAACTGATGTTAAGTGTTTGTGCTAACTTATGTTAAGATAGTGTTATGGCAATAACACTCTTTATACGTATGTTACCTATATTCAATATACTTATGTGAAGTGTATGTAATCCTCATACTACTTGAAGCCAAAAAAATTTGCTCCAATTGGTATGAGGATTACATACACTTCACATAAGTATATTGAGTACTCAATAAGTGTTTATAATCTTTGTTGTTGTTATATAATGCTTAAAAAATATAATATTAGTAAAAGTAGTATCCTTAAAATAATGTATGCTTTCAGGAACTAATATCATGCAATAATTTCCAGCAGTTCTAATAGGTAGAAAGATATTATAGACATGGTTTGACCACCAATGTTTTTGAAAGTTGGGATAGCTAAAGAAATTGAACTGTATCAAGAGAGAATGCAGTGGACTCTCACCTATTACTGCAGGTACTATAATAAACTGTGGCTTTGTGGTGGTACATCAGCATTTTAGAGAATAGTGTCTATGTGATTTATTCTATCTCACTAATACATGATTTATTGCGCTGAAACACAGAAGACAATGCAGTTGGTCCTCCATGTCAGTGGGTTCTGTATCTGTAAATTCAACCAAACTTGGATAGTCAGATAGTTGGATATTTAAGGGAAAAAAAGAATGATTGTGTCTGTGCTGAACATGAACAAACTTTCTTATCGATAATAGTATATCGATAATATACTATAAAAATTTATATAGCATTTACATTATATTAGATATTACAAATAATCTGGGGATTATTTAAAGTATATGGGAGGCTATGCATAGGTTATATGCAAATACTATGCTGTTTTATTAAAAGGGACTTGAATATCCAAGAATTTTGATATCCCTGAGGGCTCCTGGAATCAATCCCCTGCCAATACTGAAGGATGAGTTTTATAATAATCAGAAGACTATATCTTCCTTTTTGTAACATAATCCTAAGGATACTAAAGGCAATCAAAGATTAAAAAATACCATAATGCAAAGTATGGTTTAGTTTCCCATTCTCACAAAGAAGAATTCATAATTAAGAAAACCAGCATCTAATTTCCAGATAATAGTACAGTAATAATCTTAGAAAAAAATAATAAAAGTTAACAACAATATTTAAAACTTCAGGCCAACTGACACAGTTGGTGGTGTCCTGAATGCTTACCATTTGGAATAGCTGATAACTTTCCCAAAGTGTCGTTCAAAGCTCTCAAGAGATCCCCATTTCTAGCATCAGCATTTTCTATCCTTGTTTTTAAGCCATTTAGATGGTCTTCATTTTCTGTGAACAGAAAACAGAAAGAGTATTAAATAAGTTTTATCATCTTTGAGCTTATACCTGGATGTGCAATTTCAGGTTATTTTAATATAAAATCAATAAAAAGCAAGAAAATGTATTTAATGTATTGGCATCTATATATAAATATATTTCCAATCATAATAAAATATGTGTTTTTATTATCATTGAATTATTGGATACTTCTACATGTTGAACAATGACATTTTCTTTTTGGTATCTGATCTTTATTTTCCTTTAAAGGAGAAACTGCCAAAGAATTAATCTTTTATTCCATTTGTAATTATGTCCTCTAGTTATCACTCCTATTGATTCCACTTATTTAAAAACTTTTATTACCAAAAGGAATCATTGAGTTAGATTTTCAAAATCTCAGATGTGATTGTTTAGCAGAATCCTCCAACTTTAGTAAATAATATTTATTTGGATAAAAATATAAGTTAAAGAAATTGAAAAACAACTCTTAGCACATATCTGACAATAATCATTTTTCTCATAAAGAAAACAATATTTTTACAAATTGGGTCCAACAAACTTTACATAGATTTTTTTGTCTTGTTACTTTAGCAATGTTATCTTTAATATCCAAAAATACCATTTGCTAGAGGTAATTTAATATTACATATACAAGTTTTCCAGCTTCTTTCCACCAGCTTTTTAATGTTCTCTAAACTTTAGGTTAATTTATATTGTAATAGTAACTAAGCAGTTTAAATTCAAGTATAACAATATAAAGTGTAAAATTTGAAATCATTGAGGGGAGAGAAAATAAAGATCCAAGCTGTTGATATAAGTTTAGAAATCTTGCTCAGGTATGCATTAAACTGCAAATGTATCATAAGACTGAAATGGAGTTCATGTATTAGTGAAAACTGAAATTGAAAAAAAAAATGTGAAAACTTCTACACTTCCCACAATGCTATTTACCTCTCTTGAATGCACACAACAGATCATTTCTTAGACAGATTTTTAATAGTTTTTTATGCCATAAAACTTTTTTTTGGGGGGGATGCATACTAGTTGTTAAATTAGCTCCACAGAAATGCAGTATGTAAATACAAGTCAGAGTCCCCAAGTACGGAGGAGCACTGAGAAAGGACCAAGAAAGAGAAGGTGTTCCAGTCCCTCCTGGATAGGTTGGACCAATATTTAGTAAGAGTAATGCCTGACAAGCATTGAGTGTGTATGTTACAAGGATTTAGTGTTCATCAGTTTCAGTGTGTCGTTTTACTTAATCCTTAGAATAACACTGATGTATGATGTATATAATGATGTAATACTATTACAATCTCCAATTCATAGATGAGGAAATTGAGACTTAGAGAATTTAAGTAAATGGTTAGTAAATGGCAGTGGTAGTATTCAAATCTGCATAGTTTCATTCCATAAGTAGTGCTAACTACTGCCTTCTACCGGGGATTGATAGTCAAAACCAGGGATTAGTAGAGCATGGTGGGTGGTAGTGCTCCTCCTACTCTCACCCTCAACCTTTTCTTCCTGTCTTCCTCGTTTCCTTTGTCTTCCTCTCATTTTCTCGCTTGTTGTCTTAAAAAAAATTGGTCACAGTTACAGAAATCAGAGAAGCTTCACCTAAGCAACATACATAACCAAATTGTAATTATTCAGAGTGGATTAGCATTGTCTACGTGCAAAACTGGGAGGCAAATATGTGAGGTGTTCCATATTTTTAAGAATAATGAGTAAAATATGAGGATGGGCAGTTCACAATAAAATAGACATAAATAATCAATTATGAAATTCCTAAAAAGCACTCAATATTATCATAAATAACTGTAAAACTAAGCGACAGTGAGATGTCATTTGTCATCATTCAGATTGTGGAAAGTTAAATGTATGATAATGCCAAGTGTTCACAAGAGTGTGAGTGGAAGTGCAAATTGATCCCATTGTTTAAAGAGCAATTTAATAAGTTTATTAGAATTTTAAGTAGACATATATTTGGTTTGGCAGTTCTACCAACAGAAACTTACCCTACAATATACTTGTAAAAGATTTAACTTTGGGGATACTCATAGCTCTCTCTAGAAAAAAGCGGGGTGGGGATAAAAATACCCTAATAAGATTAAAGTACTGTTTGTATCAACACAGCATATTCATACAATGGTACATATGCAACCTATAAAAAGAAGTAGATGAGTGGATGTGGACATGAAACAAAACTTAAGACCTTTCCATGAAAATAAGCAAGATGCACCATATATACACTGACACATATGCAAACATTTGGCATGATACGGTCTGGTGGGAGCTGGGTAGAGAGCATTCCAAAAACCTTTACTGTACTTAGAGGGAGTAGAAAAGAGGAATGAATGAAGCAGTTAATAGTGCCATGAGGGACAATGTACTAAAACGTCTTATTTTATACCTGATTGTGCTGGGTAAATTACTTTCATGTGTACATATTTCTATATTTTTATTTTTCAAAAAACATAAACCATCTAACTGGGGAAGAATGTTATTTGTTCTCTTGATGTTATTTGCCGACACCAAGACTGTGGTTTTCATTACTTTCCTAGTACCCAGAGAAGGCAGATGGGAGAGAATATGCCTCATAGAATAGAGCTGGAGCAGTCTTGATTTGTGTGTATGTTCACCCCTTTCAGAGGTAGTGCATGTGGCTCATTAGGGGAGCTGTGCCAGCCATGGGCAGCTGGAGAACTATCCTTGTATTTATTGGCCAGCATCTGCAAACTATAGCCAAGAAAAAGCTGGATGGATGGAGGATTCTGAACTATCAGTGTCTGGATGTGCATAAGAGTACTGAACATATTAATTAATGATCCACTCCATTTCATATAGAGTTTTATAGGCAGACACCTCAAATCTCTGTTATACTACAGATTATGGTAATATAAGCATATAACATTGTTTAAAGTGTCTGTTGTTAAATTTCAAGCCAAAGAGCTGACATCACTGGAAAACAAGGCATAAAATATTCCAGCAAAGCATGGCTCTAAAACTTCAATATGTCTACTTCAGTAACTAATATATTATTATTTTATATTCTAATCCAGCAAAACATACTTTCCAAGTAATTGAATTTCTCCTCTGTCAATCACAATTCATCTTTCTTATAATACTTCTGTTATTTTTACTGTTTATACTAAAATAAAATCTTTGGATAGATTACTAAAAGCATACTCTCTGAAATAAAGCCAGTCTGATTATGGCTGTGATATCCATACAAATTCTTTGAGAATAAAGGGCTGCTCTTTTGATATTAGCTTGACAGTCTTCAACACTTAAGAAAATGGAACTGTAGAAATTTCCTTTTTTAGCTTCTTGATTGAATTTAATTTTTAAAATAATGAAGCATTCAAATGTTCTGGCAAGCAAGATATTCATGTATGATGAAAAAAATCATTAATCTGAAGGGCATCCCTGGGTTTATACCATTTTCTGCATTCTGATAGCAAAATACTGGCTGAATAATTGGGCCAATTGTTCGGAAGAAAGTGTGACCTGAAGAATATTTTTGCTGCTGCCTCTCAAGTTCCAAAGCAATGATTATGATGCTCTATATATTTTTTTCTAGCAAGTTACAAAAATACAGAATTATATTCTGACCCTGTTCTGATTTTTTGTTTAATGTTTCAGCTGCTTGACTCTGATCCTTATTAATTTGCCCTTTCTTACGCTGATCATTTTTTTCAAAGTAGTTTCTGGAATTTCTTGAACCAAGTCTAAACATTTTGTAGCTTTGGTCATAGATGAGTAGAAGATATTCAGAGAAGAATTGTAAATTTCAAGATGGAACTTACAAAATGCTAGAGAGAAAAACCTAGGAAAATAAGCACTCCAAGGCTGATTTTAACCAAAAGATGGAAGAGACTTAAGTGTATCTATAATTAAAATGTAAGAAAGAACTCTTGTGGCTCAGTTCGGATTGCAATAAGGGTGAAGAAACAGAATTATTGATAGTTAAAAGGAAACCCAACTGATTTTTTTTTACTTGTGATTTCTGGAGAATAAGATCTAACTTATAATCCATAGTTAGTTTTTTAGATTCCCTCTCCTTATTCCTTCAGCTCTCATACGCAATAACAGAAGCCTAGTCATTCTATTTTTTCTCTAACGATCGCATTCACCAAAGCTCAAAGGCTACACACACATACGTCTCTAATTCTAGCTCTCCCTGTCTCAGATTCTCTTCATACGGTAGAAGACAAATGTCCAAGAATTAGTTTGGCAAAGGCAAGGCTCATAAAGTGAGGGAATGGAAGAAGTAGAGTAGCAAGGGTCGACTGGGAACATACACACAGCGTAAATTTCCTTTGTCACATGCCCATTGAAATGGCACAGGATAGATACATCCAGAATAAAAATTGCAAGGCAGAGTTGCCCGTCACTTGCACTAATAACGAGCAGTTACTCATGTTTATCGTGTCTCTGGCATAGTGCTAAATATAAATTAGGGCTTAGTTATATTAGAACTAACTATGTGTGGTCTCAAAATAGAGCTGCTACACATTATTTCTCTGATCATTGGAAATACTTTCCTTTATACAATTCTAGTAATTAAAAAGTAGTCTGGTACAATGAAATCGTTATAAGACACAGGGTTGGAAGATGTGGGTTCAAATGTCATTTCTATCTCTTTTTAGATGTGTCAAATAAAGATAACATCTTCCTTCATGTGACTGATACGGGAAATAAACTGGGAGATATATGAGAAAGTGCTGGATTTACTATAGGAGTTAGTAAAAGGTAATACATTGACATTAGTTTGAAAATTTTCCTGGTGTGTTTTACCAGTTTTTATTATACTAACATTATTTATGACTTTATTTCTTCTTCATTTAAACTACTTGGTCCAGATTCTAAGTTTATTTCCTTTTTATATTTCCTAAGCATATGTATACATACACATATATTCCTTAATTTACAACTAAATATCAGGATGATTTTAATACATTTTAGTAGAAATGTTTAATTTGACTATTCAAATTCCATCCAGTTGAGTT